CTTTAGAACTTAAAGATATGAGCTGAAAAATCAAATCAAATCAAATCACATTTACTGTCGCAAAAAAAAAAAAAAAAAAACACTGACTCTGAATATATGCACAAATACACAATATAGTATTGCACTATTTTTAATGTACAGTTATACAGTAAGAAGTTATGAAATAAAACTATGATATGTACAGTTGTAAACATTTCCGTATGTGCAGTTAGTGAGTCTGAGGTAATAAATGAGGGGATAGAATACTGATATAGAAATCTTCCAGATTATACAGGATATGGATAGAAGATGTATAAGATGATATTATATGTGTAAGTACAGATTTGCTAGATTGAAGGTGCAGTGAGATCAGAGTCTGTTGGTGTGGTTGAGGTGTAGATTGTCCCTGGAGATCATGATGACGATGACTCAGAGGTGCAGTGACAGGCCTACTGACTGATACACCAGCACTACTGGATGTTCAGCAGCCTGATGGCCCGGGGGAAGAAACTGTTTCAGAACCAGCTGGTTCTGGACTTTATGCTCACGCTCGGCAGCCGTGAGAACAGCGCCTCCATTAAAGGTTTTGAATTTTTGGATGCTGCGACATACAACTCGGCATTTCTTGCATGTGCTGGCCTTAAAGGGGAACTCCATCCTTTTTTCATAATTTCTACATAATTAAAAAGTTGAGATGTAAACAGAGCCGTTCAGAGTGGTTTGGTGTGAAACGCTCCATTCTAGAGAAACTTACCAAGTCAGAATTGTTCACAGTGGTGGTGATAGGAACCAGACGTCCACCTCTAAATGCTCCCTCACAGAAAGTTACTACATGAAATGGTTATGAATTCACTGCCTGGTGTCTAAGATGTTCTTTTATGAAGGTTTTGTGACAAAGTTTTGGCTCAAAATGTGTTTAATCCATTTATTTTAATCTATTCATGGCAGAGAAATTTACGCAGGACGTTGTGAAGCAACATAGTCCCCAAGGGAGACTTGTTTTTCAGATTTATGACTATTTTCCATCATCAACATTCCATATAAACTCAGAAGACTCGTGTAGGTTCACTGGTGGTTCTGGATAGTAAATAAAATGTCTATATTTGTGTTGTAGTCATGGTGACCCCTGGTTCCTATCACCACCACTGTAAAGACATCTGAACCATTTCACACCAAACCACTCTGAATCTATCTGATTACAGCTCTAGGACTGAAAAATTCAGAAATTTTTAAAAATGGTGTAATTCCCCTTTAACTTCACGTTTCACTAGCGCTCGCCATTGTACCGTTGGAGTTGAGGGATTGTTTTAAGTTTATTTTATTTGCATACAGAGTGGCTTCAGAGATGTTCTGTGGACCTGAATGTACATGTGTGTGTTTTCTGCAGTGCAATAAGCATGTTTTGGAAATTATAGGAAAAAAGGCAAATATCGTTAATATTTTTATGCGATATTATGCAGTTTACGTGTGCATATTGGACTCTAGGGGGTGTACTGAACAGTCCGGTAACATACCGTACACTGCGGCACCCCTACTGATGAGCTACATGTAAAGTATGGGGGAAATTCGATTTTCTCTGAACTATTCCTTAATTAAAGCTGTGTGTTGCTGAATCACTCTGCTTGATTGTTATACGTACCCTAAATATTTGATGGTGTTCGCCATCGTGCAGGCCTGTCTAGCGGATGACGCTCTGTAGGTATTTTCGCACGCATGTGCATACGCTCCTCTGTGGGCGAGGACTGATACCCCTCGTGACGTCACGAGGAGACCGAGGCCAAACAGAGCTCTCACCCCCAACATCCACCTGCGCACAGCACCTGGAATACAACACATTTTTATTATTCCTCAATCATTTTACGACATCAGTGAATTCTGTACGCTACATTTGCATGTTTATGGCAATGTCACATCAACATCTGCCTACACATTTTCTTATTCTATTTCCCCAAATATCAGTGATATTTGGTTCTTTGAAGTTATGTCAACAGCCAAGTGCTATGACGATCGCTGAACTTATCCCTCCAGAAAATCTCTGAGTAAAAAAGTGCTTTTCTGTTTTCACCACTTATAACAAAAAAAAAGTCATTATAGTAATAATAATGTTTCTATGCTAATGAATTGGACATATTAAGTTATTACTATGAGATATGAGACTGTATTAGGCAGCACGGTGACAATATTTACAGTGGTGGTGATAGGAACCAGGGGTCGCCATGACTACAACACAAATATAGACATTTTATTTACTATCCAGAACCACCAGTGAACCTACACAAGTCTTCTGAGTTTATATGGAATGTTGATGATGGAAAATAGTGGAAAATCTGGAATAATAAGTTTTCTTTGGGGACTATTTTGCCTCACAACACCCTACATATTATGTATCCCTCCACCATAAATGGATTTTTAGGCCAAAATCTTCTCAAAACTATCATAAAACAGTGTCTCAGTCATCAGGCAGTGAAATCATAACCATTTCATGTAGGAACTTTCTGTGAGGGAGCTTTTAGAGGTGGACGTCTGGTTCCTATCACCACCACTGTGAACAGTTCTGACTCGGCAAGTTTCTATAGAACAGAGCGTTTCACACCAAACCACTCTGAACTTCTCTGATTACATCACAACCATTTATCATTTTGCAGAAGCTCTGAAAAAAACGGAATTACCCTTTAAAGAGCTGACTAGGACAGAGGTTCTTTAAGAGCAGGATTAATATGACACGACACTGCAAAAGAGAGCTGGGCTCAGAATAGATAAACTGGCTGAAGTTACTTTGCTATTTGCCAGCTTCTTGTTCGAATTTTTCCGTTCCACCTTAAACAGTGCAGCAGTTACATTCTGGCACCATTTAAGGTGGAACGGGAAAATTCGAAGAAGAAGCTGGCGACTAAGAAAATGACTTCAGCTTCATTAAAAAATCGATAAAGGGCAGCTAAATCGTTATTTATCTTAAATATTAACCTGTATAAAATACTGTATTTCTTTCAAGTCAAGTCACAGATTAGAAACTCGCTCAGAAAACATTAATTCGTCCTGCAGGTTCTGATCACAACATTATGAAACTGAACTATCGCGATTACCGTGTTGACAGCGTCACATTCCGCATAACATAATCTAACATCCACATTTCCAATTCCCCTCACCTTAGCCGAGCACCACTAACAGCGCACAGACCAGCTTTATAACTTCACACGCGAAAAATATTTAACAGCAATGAAATAAAAGTCCTGTAGCTGTTCGGAGGCACGGTGACCCTGACTGTTCTCCACAATGGCGGGTGAGAATTTCAAAATAAAAGTCAGAAAAAAAAATTAGATTATTTTTCTTTTTTTCTGGTCAGTGCTGAGAGCTCACTCTAAGCATCACGTGTGATTTAATTTAATAAACTCCATTAAATATTTTCATATTTGCTTTGGATTTTTAAAAATACATCTTTTTTTTATTGATTGATTAACCACTGATTGCAAGGCTCTGTTCCTCCTGCTTAAGACTAAAAAGCAAACTCAGTATAGTTCTAAGAAAAATGCTGCACCAGTAACTATTCTGATGAAGTAAATGATGATAATAATAATAATAATAATAATAATAACAACAACAACAACAAAAGAACAAAACCTTGCATCTCCAAAATGGTAAGTTTACAGGAGAAAGAAAAAACCTATTTTCCTTTTAATGTAAGTCAGTGGAAGCAGACTTTTTTTAATTAATTTTGGGCCACTTCCTTTGGTCCATTTATCATGAAATTTGTACACAATGTAAAGAGCAATTTCAAATTATGCCAAAAACTGAAAATCGACAAAAATGGAGATATGAGGTTTTGTTCTGACAGCAGCGAAATACATTCACCTATGAATAGGAGTGAATAGGATTGGGATAAATATTGGGAATACATGTTCAGACTACAGTAATGTACAGTAAGTGTCTCTATTCAGCCTATGTTGCATTATGTAAATACAGTATTCAGAATACAGTTATGATTTACATTTTTAGGAGAATATTCCTAAATAGAATACTCACCCAATAATTCTTTACAAATACAACCTTATAAATTAACATCATCAGTTCTTGTTTCTTAACTATTTTAAACTCAACATATGGCTACTTTACCAACCCTAAAGTTCTTGCTAAAGCCTGAGTAGACTGATAAATCAACGTGGTCAGTAATTAATCTCAGCGTTACTGAGCTCTGCTAAAGCCTGAGTAGACTGAAAAATCAATGTGATTGGTTATTAATCTCAGTGTTACTGAGCTCTGCTAAAGCCTGAGTAGACTGATAAATCAACGTGATCGGTTATTAATCTCAGTGTTACTGAGCTCTGCTAAAGCCTGAGTAGACTGATAAATCAACGTGATCGGTTATTAATCTCGGCGTTACTGAGCTCTGCTAAAGCCTGAGTAGACTGATAAATCAACGTGGTCAGTAATTAATCTCAGCGTTACTGAGCTCTGCTAAAGCCTGAGTAGACTGAAAAATCAATGTGATTGGTTATTAATCTCGGCGTTACTGAGCTCTGCTAAAGCCTGAGTAGACTGATAAATCAACGTGATCGGTTATTAATCTCGGCGTTACTGAGCTCTGCTAAAGCCTGAGTAGACTGATAAATCAACGTGATCGGTTATTAATCTCGGCGTTACTGAGCTCTGCTAAAGCCTGAGTAGACTGATAAATCAACGTGATTGGTTATCAATTTTAGTGTTACTGAATTTTTTTGAGGGATGATGGAACTGTGCAGTTTCCTCAGTATGGGGACGCGTTCTCTACCGTACTGTAGATGTTCTCCTAGGAAGTTGGACAGGTTCTGTTCAGAAGTTCAAGTAGTTGAACTTCATTCAAATGTTCAGGGAATTTTTCATGACACATATTAACAGAAGAATTACGTGAAGACAGGGTCGGTGTACCTAATAAACTGGACACTCATTCAGACCAGAAGCTGGAAGTATCAAAACAGAGGAGCATTAAGAACATAACAGACACAGCAACACAACACTGGATACAAACGATACATTTGCTTCAAATTTTATTTATTGGTTCAATCACAATTCAGTCTGTTCATATTTCAGATTTGTTTGGGTTCATTCTGGCCGTTGGTACACTACGCAAAAATAATTGTTGGATGAATTACATAAAGCTGAGCTGAATTAAGCATGAGCTATGTTAATCCCAGTAACCCACTTGGTCCAGCTAAAAACTAGCTTAAGTCTAAATCTTAAAACCAGGTTAACACTTAAAACAAGTCTTAAAAAATAAAAAACAGTCCCAAGTCTGAACCTTGAAATTAGCCTAACCCTACAAACTAGTTTTAGAATAAACCTGAATACCAGCCTCCAAACTACCCTTAGACTAAACCTTAAAACTATCTTAAACCTCAAAACTACCCTTAAACTAAATCTTAAAACTAGCTTAAACATTAAAACTAGTCTTAAGAATTAGCCTTAGACTAAACCTTAAAACTAGCTTAAATCTTAAAACTACCCTTAGACTAAACCTTAAAACTAGCTCAAACCTCAAAACTACCCTTAAACTAAATCTTAAAACTATCTTAAACATTAAAACTAGTCTTAAGAATTAGCCTTAGACTAAACTTTAAAACTATCTTAAACCTTAAAACTACCCTTAGACTAAACCTTAAAACTAGCTTAAACATTAAAACTAGTCTTAAGAATTAGCCTTAGACTAAACCTTAAAACTAGCTTAAACCTTAAAACTACCCTTAGACTAAACCTTAAAACTAGCTTAAACATTAAAACTAGTCTTAAGAATTAGTCTTAGACTAAACCTTAAAACTAACTTAAACCTTAAAACTACCCTTAGACTAAACCTTAAAACTAGCTTAAAACTTAAAACTAGCCTCAGCCTGAACCATAAAGCAAACACCAAGACACGCCTTTAAAACCAGCCTTATCTGAAACCTTAAAACTCACCATTCTCCACCTTAAAACTACAGTCTTACGTTCTGTTAGCTTTAGTCTTAGTCCTTAAATCTAAACTTACTCCTTAAGTCCTTTTGCAGTTGCTAATTAAGTTTAGATGACAGGTATTAATCTTGTCCACTGATCTCTCCTTCATCATCATCATCGTCTTCCTCTCCTCCAGATATGTTCTGTTTCATCCGGGACAGCAGAAGCGGCAGGTTTATGGTTCTCTCTTCCTCTTCATCATCATCATCATCTCTAGGTGGGTAGAAACGACGAGCCTTCGCCAGAAAATCATCTGCAGCGTCCAGATAAATCAGCCGGTCCTGAAAGATGGACACAGGCATGTTAAGTAAAATATATAAAAACAGTCATTTAGCATCGACTTTAACAAAACTGTTTTACCTGCGATTCGCAGAGATTCATCAGAATAATTAGACACGGAAGGATCGATCTTTTCAGCCCAATTAAACGATCGGCCGATATTTCTCTAACTTAGCCGGTCCTGAGCGCTGATCAGTGACGTAAAACATATGAGCCATATTTCCAGAATGTAACTGCTGCACCATTTAAGGTGGAACAGGAAAATTCAAACAAGAAGCTGGCGAATAGGAAGCCGACTTCAGCCTCGACAAATCTATTTCACTAATGAAAATAATTTTTCCTGAAGTACAGGGTGTCCCAAAAAAATTGACATCATTTTGTAGTCGAATAACAAATCAAATGATCTCAAATTTTAACAAAATGTAAAAACTAACCAGGTTTAATTTTTAATGTTTTTTTCAGGTTGAAGAACGGCGTTCACCAGAAATGAAAAGGCATTTAGCGTGTTAGAATATGCTTGAACACAGTCAAACAAGAGTGCAGCGCATTTTCGAGATAATCCAATAAAAATGCACCAACTGGAAAGCAGAAAAAATTCAAAGAGGAAGGGGCGAAGGGATCTGGACGACCACCAGTATCAGAAGATATCGTCAATCAGGTTCGAGAAACATTTGTGCGAAGCCCCAGAAAGTCCGTAAGAAGAGCATCTCTGGAAACCCAGATTTCTCGTACGACACTTTGGCGTGTCGTAAGGAAACACCTGCGAATGACTGAAAGCTGCAGCTCGTTCAAGCCTTAAAGACAGATGACAGGGAAAATCTACATCCCTCTGAATTTCTTGTTCGAATTTTGATCAATAAATCTTCTGTTGTTCAACATGAAGCCTATTTAAATTCGTTTGCCAGGACATGTAGCTACTCAGATGTTCACATCTCAAATGATGTCAGTTTTTTTGGGACTCCCTGTATAAATTACCTCACGTTTGGCTCCTGCATCACTGTGAACTCGCTGTGTGAACATGTAGAGCTGTGATTAGCGTGGTTTGTTGTAGAAGTTTTGAGGATTCGTTTCTGTTAGCAACCTTAGCATGGTAATCTTAGCTTAGCTCACAGTGCGCTAGCTTCATGACCTGCGGCTTTGGCAGGGACTGAAAATAAAAATGAGACCCTGAACTACAAAAGCGATTGTGTGTCAGCCCTTTTAGCTTTTTCAGTACGTTTAAAAACCAGCAAAAAAGCAAGAGGACAGTTTTGTCCTGTTAGCTGCGCCGGTTGCGTAGGCTCCTGTTATTTGAACGGTTATGCTAGCCTGAAGCGCCAGAATGTAAGTGCTGCACTATTTAAGGTGGAACGGGAACATTCGAACAAGAAGCTGGCAAAAAAGAAGCCGACTTCAGCTGTTAAAGAGCTGAAGGCTTAAAAAGGGACAGGTGGGCAACATTAACTTATTTTATTAATAGATCAGTATTGTTTTGTCCCGTGTGCTAATGTTTGTGGTTAGCTTCGCAGCAGCAACTGTAGTGGCAGTTTACAAACCCACAGCCTAGCTAATGTTAACTACATGCTATAGCTACTTGCTGTGTTGTTGTTCGCTCTAACGTTATATCACGGTATTTGTTCGTACAACGTTTACGAAGGTTTTTATGGCCAAAAAGATCTAAAAATTGTAGTTTGCCTTCTGCGCCTTTATATGTGGTATCCAGCCCTGCTCTCGATCGGTATCGGCTATTGGCCGATCATGCTGAATGTTGATCAGTGATCGATATTGGCCCCAAAAACACTGATTGGTCCATCTCTGAAAATAATGTCTCCCCATCTCATTTTTATTAGCCTATGAAACAGTTAAAGCCTTCCTTTGTGCTATTCTGTCAGGAAGGCAACCAAAGACAGCTCTCCGCTTGCTAAGTCTGATCTAATAGCCATTTCCAGGTCCAAACGCTCCTTCAGATCCCAAAAGCAAACAACAGTAGTGGAACCTGTGAATCTTTTCACGATCACTTCCTTCTTTTTAGCGAGGCACCAAAAAAAGGGGTCTAAATTCTTTCTCCAATCTGCTTGTTAAAGGTGCACTACGTAACATTTGGGGATTTGGAGACCTCTTTGGTAGAAATGTGTAATTGCACGCAAAGTGTGGTGGAATATTTTGCATCGTCAGCTGTGCTTCAGCCCTCTTTCATGAGCGGATGAATCTGAGGACTAAAGGAAAATTCAAAGTGAACTCAGTCTAATCTTGCTTAAGGAGCGTCTCTGAGGATGTGAGTGAATTATCTATTATCATCACATCTTCATCAGTGTGATGTTGACTCTGAGATCATTTGAAACCGAAACATCGAGCCGGACCTTCTTTTTGAGTCTGTGTGTGACGTTAATACATAAAGATGTATGACGTGGTGTGAAAAACTCCCGACCCAACACCTCTGACTTTTAAATGATTATTTCAGGCTTTATAGGCCGAATGTAATGTTTCCAGAAACATTAGCAAGGACTCTACTGTTCTATGCTGAAAAGACGAGAGCCTCACCCGTATGGAAAGGTCGGTGTGTCACATCTAAACGAGCAGATATTTTCAAAGCAGATTCTGATAGAGAACCACCACGTCTAACCATGTGCTCAGAGGGAACATCAGTGGGGTCTCCAGTGGTGAAGAGAGGCTGGGTTCTGAGGAACTGAGACTCAAACAGTCAGAGCCTTCAGACCCGACAGTGTGATTGTTTACAGTTGTCTCACTCGTGTCTCACCAGGGTGAAGAGGTATCTCTCGGGCGGGGGCTCGTTGCTGTTGAAGATGGACGTCTCTGAGTGGAGAGTTTGGAGCAGAGTTCGAGCGGCTGCTGCGTTTCGCATACGATCATACGATGCACTCGCAGACACATTCAGCAACGAATCAGCCTCAGCCATGAAACCTGCAGGAGAGAGAGAGAGAGAGAGAGAGAGGACAGAAAGCGAGAGAGAGAGAGAGAGAGAGAGCACGGAGGAGGTCAGGCTGTGATCTGATATTGAGAATATCTAATAGTACAACAGCAGTGATAATACTGAACACGTGTCAACATGTAAACATTCATCCACTCACCCAGATTCTCCAGGATCATTTTCCATTTGTCCCGCACCTCTCTCCTGACCTCCCTCATGGCCTCAATGTCCACACTCAGCCTCCGGTAGCCCTGCAGTAGAAAATAATAATAATGATAATAATAATAATAATTATAATGATAATAATAACGATAATAATAATGATAATAATAATAATACTAATAATAACAACAACAACAACAATAATAATAATAATTACTATTATTATTATTATAATGATAATAATAATAATAATAACTAGAAAAGTGCATTTCTTGAAGAAAATGTAAAGAAATTGCACAGTTTTGCTTGCTAACATTGCTAGGCTGTTACTGTACTATCCCAGATGGTTGCAAGGGTGTTGCTAGGTGGTTGCTATGATATCCCAGATGATTGCTAGGGTGTTGCTATGCGGTTGCTATGGTATCCCAGGTGGTTCCTAGGGTGTTGCTAGGTGGTTGCTATGATATCCCAGATGATTGCTAGGGTGTTGCTATGCGGTTGCTATGGTATCCCAGGTGGTTCCTAGGGTGTTGCTAGGTGGTTGCTATGATATCCCAGATGATTGCTAGGGTGTTGCTATGCGGTTGCTATGGTATCCCAGGTGGTTCCTAGGGTGTTGCTAGGTGGTTGCTATGATATCCCAGATGATTGCTAGGGTGTTGCTATGCGGTTGCTATGGTATCCCAGGTGGTTCCTAGGGTGTTGCTGGGTGGTTGCTAGGGTGTTGCTTGGTGGTTGCTATGATATCCCAGATGATTGCTAGGGTGTTGCTATGCAGTTGCTACAGTATCCCAGGTGGTTGCTAGGGTGTTGCTTTGCGGTTGCTATGGTATCCCTGATGGTTGCTAGGGATTTGCTAAGTGGTTGCTGGTGGTTGCTGTTATATCCTAAATGTTACTAATGGTCTTCTATCACAGTAATATAAGCTGGGTGCACAAACATTTGCACCCCATTAGTTCCTTAATACCTGAATAATTAATTTAACCATGATTGTATGAAAACTCTACGTTGGATCAAAAAGCTGTATACAAGCCCACTGTTCCTGATCAGAACCGAATATTCTGGAGTTGGAACGGTGGAGATGAAAAAAGGTGAGATGAGTTAGTCGACAAAAATATGGCAGAAAAATAAGAAAAAGAAAAGGAAGAATCTACAATCGGATAACGAGTGTTCACATTGCTTCACTAATACCACCCATCCTAACCAGGTAACAGTCAAGTCTCTGTGTATCATATATATAATTCTGTATTCTGAATATGTTTTCCCAATACTTGTATTGTGTTACAGCCCAACCCTGACTGTATATTCATGTAGTGGTGCAGATTTACAGTGATGTATGTACTGCTAATTAGTATGAATAATTGAACCTTTATTCTAACATCCTGACACGCGTGTGTACTTCACATCACATATTCAGGCCACATTTAAAGAAGTCCAGTAGAGGAGTGCAGCGCACCTGTGAGCCCATGCGTGTTTTGGCTCTGCTCTGCAGGAGGTTATAAAGCGTCCGGTCATCGTCTCTCTCCGAGTGGGAGGGGTCTCCGGGCTCACTCCATAGGTTGGTCTCCTGATCCCGCCTCTTTTTGGCCTCACGGTCAAAATACTCTAAAGTCTCATTACTGACACAGACACACAAACACATACACAAATTTTAATAACGTGTTTACAGCCATTTGTTTTCCATCTGCTTCCACTCACTGGCCACTTTATTAGAAACACCTACCTTGTGCTTCCACTCACTGGCCACTTTATTAGAAACACCTACCTTATATTTCCACTCACTGGCCACTTTATTAGAAACACCTACCTTGTACTTCCACTCATTGGCCACTTTATTGGAAACACCTACATTATGCTTCCACTCACTGGCCACTTTATTAGAAACACATACCTTGTGCTTCCACTCACTGGCCACTTTATTAGGAACACCTATCTTTTGTTTTTCCTCACTGGCCACTTTATTAGAAACACCTACCTTGTGCTTCCACTCACTGGCCACATTATTAGAAACACCTACCTTGTGTTTTCACTCACTGGCCACTTTATTCGAAACACATACCTTGTGCTTCCACCTGCTGGACACTTTATTAGAAACACCTACCTTGTGCTTTCACTCACTGGCCACTTTATTAGAAACACCTATTATTTGTTTTTCCTCACTGGCTACTTTATTAGAAACATACCTTGTGCTTCCACCTGCTGGCCACTTTATTGGAAACACCTACATTGCATTTTCACTTACTGGCCAATTTATTGGCAACACCCACGTTGTACTAAATTTTAAGTCCATTCATGCTGGAGGGATACATGCAGGGTGTTGTGAGGCAAAATAGTCCCCAAAGAAAACTTATTATTTCAGATTTTCCACTATTTTCCATCATCAACATTCCATATAAACTCAGAAGACTCGTGTAGGTTCACTGGTGGTTCTGGATAGTAAATAAAATGTCTATATTTGTGTTGTAGTCATGGCGACCCCTGGTTCCCATCACCACCACTGTAAAGACATCTGAACCATTTCACACCAAACCACTCTGAATCACTCTGATTACAGCTCTAGGACTGAGTTATGCAGAAGTTTAAAGTCTGGACAAGAGTGAAAAACCACCTCCGCAGCGATTAAATTAGATAACAAGTACACTTTTTATGGAAGGGACTGTGAGGCCTCAGATGGCTGGGTTATAGAAGCAAATGGCTGTTATTGAACATTTTATTTCTGGATAAACCTTCAGTCTTCAAGGCATTTCAGAAATAGAGCCTTTATGAGTGGGTTATCCTCACATTCAAAGAGTTCACTAAACCCTGATATTCGGCAGAAGGTCTTGTGGTCTGATGAGACTGAATTGCAGTTTTTTGGCCTGAAGGCTCAGCAACATGTGTACAAAACTGAACACTAAAACCAGCTGCTTCTCCTGTCCTGCTCTGACCCTGCATTCTGTATCTGGCCTGACCACAATGATCAATCTGTAGGACGATGGTGTCTTCTCATCTTTTTCAGACCTATCAGCTAAATTTAACTTGGTTAACAATCACCTTTTTTGTTTATTTCAGATTAGATATTTCTTTTAAAACCTTTCCCTCACTTTCTCAACCGTCCTCCTGAATCTCATATAGACCAGTTTCTTACCACTGGGCACTTTATTAGAAACACCTACCTTGGACTTCCATTAACTGCCCACTTCATTAGAAACACCTACCTTGGACTTTCATTCACTGCCCACTTCATTAGAAACACCTACCTTGGACTTCCATTAATTGCCCACTTCATTAGAAACACCTACCTTGTACTTTCACTCATTGGCCACTTTATTGAAAACACCTACATTATACTTCCACTCACTGGCCACTTTATTAGAAACACCAACCTTGTGCTTCCACTCACTGGCCACTTTATTAGAAACACCTACCTTGTACTTCCACTCACTGGCCACTTTATTAGAAACACATACCTTGTGCTTCCACTCACTGACCACATTATTAGAAACACTTGCCTTGTGTTTTCACTCACTGGCCACTTTATTGGAAACACCTACCTTGGACTTTCATTCACTGCCCACTTCATTAGAAACACCTACCTTGGACTTTCATTCACTGCCCACTTTATTAGAAACACCTACATTGGACTTCCATTAACTGGCCGCTTTATAAGAAACACCTATCTTGGACTTTCATTAACTGGCCACTTTATTAAAAACACCTACTGGGTGTTTGCACTTACTGGCCATTTTATTAGAAACACCCAGCTTGTGTTTTTACTTACTGGTCACTTTATTGGAAACACCTACCTTGTCCGTCCACTCACTGACCGCTTTATTAGAAACACCTACCTTGACCGTCCACTCTCTGGCCACTTTATTAGAAACACCTACCTTGTGCTTCCTCTCACTGGCCACTTTATTGGAAACACCCACCTTGTCCGTCCACTCTCTGGCCACTTTATTAGAAACACCTACCTTGACCGTCCACTCTCTGGCCACTTTATTAGAAACGCCTACCTTGTGGCTCATATCGATCAGTTTCTTACCACTGACCCTTTTCAGAAGCGACTCTCTGAATCTGTCATTTATGATCTAATTAATTATTTGCATGTAGCACCCACTGAATCTCTTAAAAGGTCTTGGGAACAGGATCTGGAAATTACTACTTTGGATGGCCGTTGGAGTCACACCCTGGGCCGAGTACGCTCCTCATCCGTATGCGCCAGACGTGGCCTCCTGCGGTGTAAGGCGCTCCATAAAGCTCACTTCACCAGTGCTAATCTGCCAAAAGTATTTCCGAATAGAAGAGATGTGAGAGATGTAAACAGTCATGCGCCTCTGTTCTGGATGAGCCCTCAGCTGACAAACGTTAGTCTAATGTGTTTGGAACACTTACGCAAACCCTCAACTGTGATTTAGACCCCAAATCCCTAACAGCCCCCAGAATTGCACATGCCTGTTACAGCACAACGTGTTGTTGCCTTCACCACTACTGGCCAGATGTGCCATTCTTCCTAAATGGAAACATGGCTTCCCTCCCACACATGACTGACTGAGGAAGTTCTATCGTGCATTAAGCTTGAAAAGTCCCTGGAATCCTTTTATATATTCTGAAAAAGATGGTTCTTCAAGGGTGCTTTAGTAAAGACTTAGTAATGTTATGGGTGTAACAGTACACAGAAGTCACGGTTCGGTACAAGTTCAGTACAACTGGAAAAAAGCAACAAAAACACCCAAATGCACAAGGCTAGTGCAAGTTACAGTGTCTTATAGCGCCCCTTTGAGGAAACCTAAGTTGGTACAGCCTGTAATGGGTCATTAGCACTCAGCGGGGAGTTGAGATTAACTAACATAAACTAAATGCATGTTATCGGTTCGGCTCCACTGCAGTCGCCTTTTTTGGTTCTCCATCAGGCAAACCTGGTACCTGGTACTATTTTTGGTATCACCTCCATTGAGGTTCCAAGCGAGCTGAGCCGATACCAAAAGGTATGTGTATTTGCCCCGAACCGTCGCAGTACAGGGTGAATACACGTACCATTACAGCCCTATTCTATATAGAACCATGAACACACAAAGAACCCTTTGCATGGTTAATTGGTTCTACAGATTGACTGAGAATGTGTTGTATATGGTTCTATATAGCACCAAAAAGAATCCTGCTACTGTTACAATGTCAAGCTTCTTACAATAGAAGAACGCTTTTTGGTGCTATATAGCTATATCCTGTAGAAGAACCATCTCACCATGCAAAGAACCGTTTAAGCATGCAAATTGTTATTTGACTGTTCATGGTTCTATATAGAATCATGAACATTAAAAGGACCTTTTGCATGACTAAATGGTTCTTCAGTCTTCAGGGTTCCTCAGGGTGATGGAAAATGTGCATGAATGTGCTACAAATGGTTCTGTATAGAACCTTTTGAAAAGCGTTCTTCTATTGTTACAATGTCAAGAGTGCTTTTTGTTGCCATATAGAACCCCTCTATAGAACCACTATATAGAACCATTTTCTTTACAAAAGAACCCTTGAAGAACCATCATTTTTAAGTGTGTGATTGCAATGTTTTGTATGCTGGACAGCGACATCACTAAAAAAACAACTTTATCTCAAACCTTTTCAAAAATGGTTCTATATAGCACCCAAAAGGGTTCTTCTGTTGTTACAAGCTTGACATCCTAACAATAGAAGAACCTTTTTGGTGCTATATAGAACCATCTACAGCACATTCTCCATCAACGTGAAGAACCGTTGCATGATGCAAAGAACCCTTTAATCATGCAGATGGTTCTTTGAGTGTTCATGGTTCTATATAGAGCCGTTGTCTTTACTAAAGAACCCTTGAAGAACCGTCTTTTTAAGGGTGTATATATATTACACACATACTTTTTAAAAACCTGCCAAATTAATGACAAACCAGCCCAAATTTTGTCCACCCACTAAAGCACTTTCGAAACAAATCCGCCCAATCTGGCAGCACTGAATATGAGTGGCCTCCTAGTTAGTGTCATTACCCATTTATCCCTGTGAGCGTGTGGAGGTGTTCAGTATCTCTTACAACCTTGATGATGTGGTTTCTGACACTGTATAACTCACTGTTATCTATAAACATGGACTGAATTGCAGACATATATGAGGACATTTGTTGTTTTGTTTTGAAAACATCTTTTGAGTTGATCTGTCTGTATGAAAAGGATTAGCAATTAGCAAATTGCAACTTTACACTAAAACTCCATAGGAGGCCATTCATTTCAGACTTGCTCGGGAGCGCCCTCTAGTGTCTGACCAACCCGGTAGGCACCACCAGAGAGGAGGAGACGGTCACTGGTTGAAAAATGAATGGGAAAGCTTGTAACGCTCAATATGGCGTCTGTTTACGAGGAAAGTCCCGCCCTTCCAGAAAAAAGAGCCAATCAGCTTGCCGGTTATGCTGCAAGCGGAAAAAGCCCTCCACCACTGAAAAATGGTGTTTTTGTATGTTATTTGATCCAAGAAGTAGAAAATATTTCTGCCGTGTTTGTCAGATTTTGCCAGTGATTTCAAATATGTATTTTAAACGTTAATATGGCTTTTAATTTCAATTCTTTAGGTCTCTCCCATTCAAAGAGATAGTCAGGGGGCGCTTCCTATCTTTTAGTCCTGAGTTAAGATCTGAGATGTCAAGATAAGATTTTACACAAATTCATATTACAGAAGCAAATCTGATCTTAATTTAGGAATTTCATCTTATCTTACAGCATCTTAGTTAGGAAATTGTAACCTACACACAGCTGAAATGTAAACACGTCATCAAAATAATGTTAAAATGTGAGTTAAGCTGCTGTTACTGATGTAAAAAAGGTCAAAACTGAACTAAAGTGTGATAAACTGTAAGTAGTGAACACTGTGAGAGCGCCCCCTGCTGTTTATCAGAGTCGCCGCTCCCCAGTTTCAGTCTCCATTTCCCAAACGCTTTAGCCGAGTGCGCTAACGTTACTCCTCCTAATAAACAGACACACGTTCAGCTCCGTCTCCTCATTATTCACCACCATCACTGTAATATTTCATCATCAACATTAACACACGAAGGTGATCAGAGGGGCGGTGGAGATCGAGTCTGCAGCGTCTGAGATCTTTAAAACGCAGAGTTAGAAAAGAAAATCATCTCACAGTGAAAGCAGCGTTTTACAGTAGAAATAAATGGAGCTCATTATGCTGGTAGTGAACTATGCTGCTGACTCAGCTGCCTAAAAACCATAGAAACGGACCTTAAACAGAAGTGAGGACCCTGTTGGGGTTCATCCTAAAGTTAGGACAGGATTTAGGAGGTTTAGTCTAGTTAGGATGTTTGTGTGATGCTATTTTCTTATCTGGAGTTCATGATGAGATTATGAAGTCAGGAACTGTTATTCTGGAATAGATACTGTCCGGAATTCAGTCCTAACTGAAATCGTCATGGAGACCAAACAGATCAGTTTTCAGAGTCAAGATGTTTCTGTAGTACGGGTTCTGGTCTCGTATGTGTGGGAATAACTGCCCGGCTGCGTTGCCAAGAAGGCCGCCAAGTAAACAGACTTTGGTGTTGAGTGTCAGTTCTCCTCACTACACTCTCTCTGTTATCGGCCGTCCTGAATTCTGTCTGCATTTCAGTCCATGTTTATAGATAACAGTGGGTCATACAGTGTCAGTTACCACATAATCAAGTCTATTAGAGACACTGAACACAGTTTGAGGACAGTGTGTGATGATTTAGACATGCAGTTAGCCCCATGCTAATTGGTGGAGTAAAAGCTTCCATTCCTTGTTAGCTACATTAGCCTCATAGCTTTGTGGTTAAAACTGAAGAAGCAAACTTGATTTTTAAAGAGGTGAAATTTGATTTTCACACAAATTTTCAGAGTAAATTATTGTCTCTTTGATGTTGATCAGCGCCCTCTTGTGGACTGTGGTTGTACAGCACACAGCATCACCGGATACAAGAATTTGCTGTTGAAGTATGGAGGACTGACAACATTTTAATATCAAAATGTTATAAAAATATTTTTACAAATATTTTAATGTTTGAAATAATTTAGTTTTACAAAAAAGTTAAAAATGTTTTTCAGATTTTAAAAGAATTTGTAATGACCCTGATCTCCGCTCTGTATGTAGGACAGGCATGATGCTGAATTAATGAATCTGAATTTCTGGAAGGAGGCGTGCGCCACAGCCACAGACTGAAGGAGATTTTTAAAAATATTAAATTTACAAGCATAACTGCTCATGAGCTCAAGAAAACGTAGCACTGTTCAAAACAGTGACTTTCTATAAAATTTGGTGTTTTATCCTACAATACTGTAGCAAAACTATTCCTGAAATTCCTGCATAACTCAGTGTGTGAGGTGTAAACAGAGATCTCTCTGTGGTTTGGTGTGAAATGGCCCTTTACAGTGGTGGTGATAGGAACCAGGGGTCGCCATGACTACAACACAAATATAGACATTTTATTTACTATCCAGAACCACCAGTGAACCTACACGAGTCTTCTGAGTTTATATGGAATGTTGATGATGGAAAATAGAGGAAAATCTGAAATAATAAGTTTTCTTTGGGGACTATTTTGCCTCACATCGCCCTGCATATTATGTATCCCTCCACCATGAATGGAGTTTAAGTTCTCTAAACTATCATAAAACAGTGTCTCAGTCATCAGGCAGTGAATTCATAACCATTTCATGAAGTAACTTTCTGTGAGGAGCTTTTAGAGGTGGACGTCTGGTTCCTATCACCACCACTGTGAACAGTTCTGACTCGGTCAGTTTCTCTAGAATGGAGCGTTTCACACCAAACCACTCTGAATGAGTCTGTTTACATCTTAACAATTTAGTTATGAAGAAATTTTGAAAAATCAGTGGTATGATATAGACATAGTTAAAGGGGAAAACCACCCATATTTCAAATTGCCTGCATAGTTCAGTGTGTGAGATGTAAACAGAGAGATTCAGAGTGGTTTGGTGTGAAATGGTTCAGATGTCTTTACAGTGGTGGTGATAGGAACCAGGGGTCGCCATGACTACAACACATTCTGACTCTGTGAGTTCCCCTTTAATGCACAGGGCAGTGAATAATTTGTAAGATAGATAGTATGTATGTATGATAAATACCCGAGTAACGGTCTCTTCTCTTCATCATCGTCGTCATCATCAAAAGTACAGCAGCAGCAGCAGAACCTGGCGCAGAACCTCTTGAAGGCCGAACCCATCCTGAAGGAGAGCGAGCGAGGGAGGAACAGAGAGCAGAAGAAGGAAAGAAGAGGGCTGCATGCATCAGCTGTCAGTGTGGGACATCTGAATGGGCTTCGTCCTGGACCACCGCTTTCACTTCTCCGCCATTCAGAGTGGGCCGAGGGTCAGAGGTTCCTCCAGAGGCTCCAAAATGCTGCAGGATGAGGGCTGCTGATGCTGCTCCAGGACCTACTCAGAAGATACGGACTTCGAGGCCATGAAAAGCAAATGAGCAAAGGAGCAAACAAACGTTCCTCTAGAACGAACACGGAGCCCCGTAAACAGTCACAGCTCAGTCATGTGGACCCAACAATTCCCTCTGAGGCCCCGAGGCCAACGAGACACAATCACACCAGTCACACTGCTCACAGACCTCACAGACCTGCCTCTGAGGAAGAGAGTCAGAGGGCTGTGATCTGGGGGGTTTGTGGGGTTGGAGTGGAGTTTGGAGCAGGAACCCAGGGAATACAAAGGTCAGAAAGGTCACTATGTGACCGATCCCTACACTCTTAAAGAGATGGTTCTTCAAGGGTTCTTTAGTAAAGACAATGGCTCTATATAGAACCATGAACACTCAAAGAACCATCTGCATGATTAAAGGGTTCTTTGCATCATGCAACGGTTCTTCAGATTGATGGAGAATGTGCTGTAGATGGTTCTATATATCACCAAAAAGGTTCTTCTATTGTTAGGGTGTCAAGCTTGTAACAATAGAAGAACCCTTTTGGGTGCTATATAGAACCATTTTTGAAAAGGTTTGAGATAAAGTTGTTTTTTTAGTGATGTCACTGTCCAGCATACAAAACATTGCAATCACACACTTAAAAATGATGGTTCTTCAAGGGTTCTTTTGTAAAGAAAATGGTTCTATATAGTGGTTCTATAGAGGGGTTCTATATGGCAACAAAAAGCACTCTTGACATTGTAACAATAGAAGAACCCTTTTCAAAAGGTTCTATACAGAACCATTTGTAGCACATTCATGCACATTTTCCATCACCCTGAGGAACCCTGAAGACCCCTTGAAGAACCATCTATATAGCACCCAGAAGGGTTCTTCTGCACACTTAAAAAGATGGCTCTTCAAGGGTTCTTTACTAAAGAATCCTCTTTTTTAAGAATGTACTGATCACCTGGTAGTTCGATCTCCACCCCTGCTTTAGTTCCTGGGTCACCGTCACGTATGCGGTGATGTTGAGGACTCACTGGTGGAGTTTTCCACAGCAGTGTTCTGTAAGACTAGGCGAGAAAGTGGTAGAAGTGGTCAGTAGCAGCAGCAGCGCCCTCTGCTGGACAAAACAAGCACAACGTGAGACGTCTGCCCGTCTGCTCTGCTGCAGGTCTTTCTTAGGATTTTCTGCTGTGTTTTTAATTCACGTGTTAAAAATGGGGACATTTCTGGGGACAGCTCCACTCAGGGACAGTCCACCAAAAACGGGGACGTCTGTTCACCCTGTTCTCATATTCACACTGTAGCGCTCACCACTATTAAAGGAGACGCAGCTTTCGCCCAAGTGGTGGTGCTTTATTTTCCAGCTGTTTTTGTCCACAGCCACGCCGTTCAAGCACCCAGAAGAGTTCTTCTGCACAAGATGGTTCTTCAAGGGTTCTTTACTAAAGAAAATGATTCTATATAGAACCATGAACACTCGAAGAACCTTTTGCATGATTAAATGGTTCTTTGCATCGCAAAATGGTTCTTCAGATTGATGGAGAACGTGTGGTAGACGGTTCTATATAGAATCGTTTTGAAAAGGGTTCTAAATAGCACCAAAAAGGGTTCTTCTATTGTTACAAGCTTGACATTGTAACAATAGAAGAACCCTTTTTGGTGCTTTATAGACCCGCAACGTTTGCGGTGATGTTGTGGACTCAATGGTGGAGTTTTCCACAGCAGTGTTCTGTAAAACTAGGCGAGAAAGTGGTAGAAGTGCTCAGTAGCAGCAGCAGCGCCCTCTGCTGGACAAAACAAGCGCAAGGTGAGACATCTGCCCTTTTCTGCTGTGTTTTTAATTCACATGTTAAAAATGAGGACATTCCGGGGACAGCTCCACTCAGGGACAGTCCACCAAAAAGTACTTACACTCATACTTACACTGTAGCGCTCACCACTATTCGCACAAGTGGTGGTGTTTTCTTTTCCAGCTGTTGTCGGCCACAGCCATGGCATACATTAGCAGAGTTTTCTTTCTCTAACAGCTCATTCGTTACCCAGCTATGGCGGCTCCTAGCCCCGCCCTCCACAATAAGAGTCCTTAGCAAAACCCAGTGAATAAATGCTGAGGATCACAAACCCAAAACTAACGTAAACATTTCTTGAACATGCTGTGTTATTAACAGATCATCATTATAGGCCTCTAACAGTCATCAGTCATCATTGGTTCATCTAAACGCTTCTGTCCAATCACAGGCTGTCCAATATTGTATGTTAGTTGTAGAATCTTTTTCTCTGCTCTTGTGCCCTTGTGTTTGCTATCCGGTGTGGTCCAGAGGAGGATGGGTTCCCCTTCTGACTCTTGGTTCCTCTCAGTGGTTCTTCCTCTTGCTCTGAGGGAGTTTTTCTTTCACACTGTTGCCCTATTTATTTTTTGTAAGGCTGCTTTGTGACAACAACAGAAAAAAACTACACTACATACTGAACACAATACAGACACTAACAGCAGAACATCACCCTGATTCTGGATCTGATCTTAACTTTATTAGCTTTTACTTTATTAGCTCTTAATTGTATTTATTAGCCCAATTTTATTATTTAAAAAAATTATTAGCTTTTACCTTATCACCTTTTAATTTTATTAGCGTTTATTTTATTTATTAGCACTTCATTTTTATTAGGTTTTCATTTAATTTATTACATGTTGATTTTATTAGCTTTATTTTATCAGCTATTAATTTATTAGCTTTTATTTTTTAATAAAACTTTTGTTTACTACCTGTTGACTGTATTTGCCTTTCGCTGTTGTCGGAAGAAAACCTTGTATCTCCATTTTTGTCATTTTTCAGTTTTTTGAATTTAATTTAATTTGAAAGTACCTGTTGTTCTTTACATTGTGTATAAATTTGATGATGAATGGACCAATAGAAACGGCCCAAAATGACTTGGAAAAAATTCTGGTTCCACTGACTTCCATTAAAAGTAAAGTAGGTTTTTTCCTTCTCCTGTAAAGTTACCATTCTGAAGATATGAGGTTTTCTTCTGACAACAGAGTTTTATTTTTAATTATCTGTTAATTTCATTAGGTTTGTTTATTAGCTATGAGTTAGTTTTTATTTATTACCTGCTGATTTTGTTGCAATTTAATAATCAGTTGTTGAACTTATTGGCTTTTATGGTATTTTTTAACTGTATTATCATTTATTAGCTAGTCTATTCGGTCTGTTGATTCAGGCCAATTTTTTTATTACATAAAATAAATAGAGAGAATGATACAATATAATGTAATATAAGTTGCCACATAAAATACATTCATCACTGAGAGTTACAGACGTTTACAGACATTCGCAGATGAAACAGCGCCACATGTTCGAGTGACGGAGCAAATAAAGGACAACATGAGTCAAAATTTCTGGCACTAAGAGCAGAATTTCAGTCTGGTTCTGTATCAGCGGTTAACTTTATTAGCGATATGATTCAGTACAAGCTCATCTGTTAAAAATCAATATTACAGTTCATTCAGCATCTGGTCTCATCGTCTACAGTGTTTACATGAACATCCAGACCAACGTAAAACAACAACACTGCATTAAATAAAGATACGACGGAGGGACGACTCAGTTTAGAGGAAAAACAATGAAAAAGTCCTACACAGAAAAGTGAAAATGGGCAAAAAAACTAAGAAAACAAAGAAAACAAACTACATCTAAATGTCTGAACCTGTGAAATCAGAGTCGAAGGCACGCAGAGTCAGAAAAACAGAGAAATATACACAAAAATATACATAAAGAGCACAAACGGCGTTACAGTTATCAATACAGGGTGATTTATAAAGTGAACGTAACCCAGAATTCAGAGTCTGATGAGACACAAACGTTTAATGCTTCAGTTTTTAGTCTTCACTCTTAAAAAAAGATGGTTCTTCAAGGGTTCTTTAGTAAAGACAATGGTTCTGTATAGAACCATGAACACTCAGAGAACCATTTGCATGAACAAAGGTTCTGTTCAGACTGCAAATTGCAGAGTGCTGCACAGGGTTCTATATAGCACCAAAAAGGGTTCTTCTATTGTTATGACATCAAGACTGTTACAACAGAAGACCCCTTGTTGGTGGTATGTAGAACCCTGTTCAAAAAGGTTCTATATAGAACCATCAGCACGTCCTCCATCAATCTAAAGAACCACTTCACCACGCAAAGAATGCTTTAATCATGCAAAGGGTTCTTTGAGTGTTCATGGTTCTATGTAGAAGCTTTCTGAACAGGGTTCTATATAACACCAAAAAGGGTTCTTCTATTGTTATGATGTCAAGCCTGTAACAAATGCTTTTTGGTGCTATATAGAACCCTTTCCAAAAAGGTTCTATACAGAACAATCTACAGCACATTCTCTATCAATCTGAAGAACCATTTCACCATGCACAGAACCCTTTAAGCATGCAAAGGACTCCTTGACTGTTAATGGTTCTACAAAACCTAAAAAAAAAAACCCTAAAGAACCCTTGAAGAACCATCTTTCTTAAGTGTGTGGACGTTTTCTCAGAACCTTTCTCAAGAACACATTTAAGAAAAAGCTCAGGAAGATACTGGAGAATGATGCCCAATGGTTCTAGGCAGAACCATGAACACTCAAAGAACCATTTGCATGCTTAAATGGTTCTCTCCATGGTGAAATAGGTCTTCAGATTGATGGAGAATGTGTTGTATATGGTTCTATACAGACCCTTTGTTAGAATGGCTCTATATAGCACCAAAAAATGTTCTATTGTTACAAGCTTGACCCTTAGAACCCTTAAGAACCATATACAACACATTCTCCATCAATCTGAAGAACCATTTCAACACCTTTGGTTCTTTGAGTGTTCATGGTTCTATGTAGAACCTTTGTCTTTACTAAAGAACCCTTGAAGAACCATATTTTTACGAGGGTAAGGGAGGGTACTAAATCACTGAAAGTTCCCGTTTAGAACTCTAACCATTAGATCAATAACTGTGCTGATCAGCTCGGTGATCAGCGCAGCTTTTATGATTTGGCCTGTAATGAACGCGTCATTCTGCCGGTTCTGCGCTGCAGCAGTGCTGAGGGGGAGGAGCAGCTCGGCGACCGAGTCATGTGTCTGATAGTGAATAAAGACGCTCTGTTCTGCTCAGAATCAGCTGCTGTGGATCCTCCAGCAGAACACTTCCCTCACACACTGCCAACCACCAGACAAGTGTTCAAAACTTCCACCGATTTTACAAAACGTCTCTATAATTAAGTGGTTAAGATGTAAACAGAGCCATTCAGAGTGGTTTGGTGTGAAACGCTCCGTTCTAGATAAACTTACAGAGTCAGAACTGTTCACAGTGGTGGTGATAGGAACCAGACGTCCACCTCTAAAAGCTCCCTCACAGAAAGTTACTACATGAAATGGTTATGAATTCACTGCCTGATGACTGAGACACTGAGTGCGTTTAAATGCACTTAATAATCTGATAACCGCAGAAAATCTGATTTTGTCAGTAATCTGATCAACACGTTTACATGCACTTGAGTAAGATAATGGGGAAACGCGACGTAAACGTAACGTAAAACTAAAACTTTTTTTAAACATCGCGCCGCTTTAGCTGAAAATATGAACAAACATCATCTAGAAGATGAAGAATATTTAAATCCTTTATTTCCTGTTTGGTTTCAGCGCCGCTCCAACAGTGTTTTGCTGCGTCTCACGACACCCACCGTCTGATCTCGCGCATGCACAGACTGAGAAATCAGATATAAATCAGAGTAAGAGTTCACATGTACTGAGAAATCTGATTACTGAGCTAAAATCCAGCCTCTTTATCAGATTTCTTAATCAGATTTCTAGATCAGAGTATGGTGTTCAGATGACCATTTGAATAATCGGATAACTGCAGAAATCTGATTATGATCGGATTATTGAGTGCATGCATACACATTCAATGTTTAATGATAGTTTTGAGAAGATTTTGGCCTTAAACTCCATTCATGGTGGAGGGATACATAATATGCAGGGTGCTGTGAGGCAAAATAGTCCCCAAAGAAAACATTATTTCAGATTTTCTACTATTTTCCATGACATCTGAACCAAATTCACACCAAACCAATCTGAAAAACTGTGCTGAACTAAAGCCCTCCAGGAGCAGTGCTCAGAGGTCAAAGGTCAGACTCCCCAGTAGCTCAAGAAGGTAAGGCACCATCTCCGTTGGCCTAAGGCTCCAATAAGCCCCGCCCCCCAACTGAGCTCTCACTGGGCTGGGTTTGGTTCTCCTATTAAAGTGACAGTTTTTAGGTGTTCAGCCAAGATGATCACTTCTTTGGAGCTACAGTGCTAATGCTGCTAACAAGTAATGGAAACTTATACCCCACCAATTAGCATGGTGCTAACTGCATGCCATGTGGAGCTGCTCAGTGTCTCTAATAGTCCCGATTGTGGTTTCTGACTCTGTATGACTCACTGTGATCTACAAACAGGGAATACAGTATGTTAGCATAGGTAAAACATCAGCAGCCACCTATGTTTTGTTGATCATTTTGTTTGTTGCTTATTAGCTACATTAGCCTCGGAGCTCCAGCGCAAAACTAAGGAGAAAAGGTAAATCTGATTGACTTTATTATGCAAGTTATGCATGATAATAAGCTACTCAGTGGTAACATGTTTGGCCATGGCAGCCTCGACCATCTCTAAAGGCATTATTAAGTGTAACCCAGCCCAGCGCAGTCCAAAAATATCGGGACAGTCCTTTATGGGTGTTTCTGGGTATGTGTTATTTATTGTATTGTGTTTTTATAGGTATTGAGGCAAATCAGTTGACACAGTGTGAAAGTTATAATCGGCTGCACATCTTCTGTGCACAATGACTTACATGTAAGCACTGATCTAAGACCAGCTTTAACATCCACATCAGAAAAGTATTTAATTAAAAAAAAAAAAAATCCAATCAGGAATCCTCACTTTAAGGAATTCTTTAGTTTTACTAAAATATGTGTCAGTATCTTTTACAACTAGCCTGCATCATCAAGCTTGTCTTTTGAGTTAATGCACATAAACCAAAGTGACAATTACAAAATAAAAGAGAAACTGATTCAGAATATGCCTGAAAAAATAATAACGAGTGTAATCGCACTTATCAACGACAGTCAGCTCGGCTGTGAAAGGCAACTGTAGCTGAAAACAGAATAATAACAAACTGTGGTGCAGAAAAACCCTGAAACTGTGATTTACATGAAAAATAAACATCCACAGTGCAGGAATAACTGACTTATATTAGAATACACAATTAAGCAGAGCTGAGCATTCAGATTTAAAGAGAAATTCCAAACAAACTAGGAAAAACTCCCTTCTGATGATGTATTTTGAGGGTAGGAGGAGCTTTTTAAAAACTACAACTGCTTTGTGGTAGATTTTTTTGGGGCCCTTAGCAAAAAAAAAAAAAGATTTTTTTGTAGTACAAAAAAAGGTTCTGTGACGTGTAACACCAGTGGAACCTTTTTCAGTGCTATACAGAGCCAAATTTATAAAGGTTCTTTAAGAAGCATAGACAACAGGTTTTCCATCATAGAAAAGGACCTTTAAAGATGTAAAGAACCATTTATGCATTCAAATAGTTCTTTGAGTGTTTACGGTTTAATATTATATATATATATATATATATGTGTGTACACATTTTTTAAGGATGTATTTTTATCTGACGAATGTAAAGTGATGCCAGATGGCTAACATTTCTGCTAGAAGGCTCAAAAACTTACATTTCATACAGTCGGCCTTCAAACCTCCCCCAAAAACAATTGTAGTTTTTCAAAAATTCCTCCTACCTTCAAGCTACATCATCAGGAGCAGTGTTCCTTTAATTATGTGTACAGATAATGATAGACATAAATAACAAAGGCAGAACAAAAAACAGATAATCTGCGAAACATGGTGGAGGTAGTGCCAAGCAATGCAATTCAGTCTGTGATGTAAACTAAATGCAGCCACTTACTAATTATGAAAAAAATGGAGGTGTACAGAAACAAAAAAGGTGTTTACGCAACAAAATGAAAAAACCTTCATTATAGCTGATAAAGCATGAACGTAACTGGCTGTAGAGGAGACCACCTGAGTAACTAATACATTAAATTGTCCCAATACATATGCTCACAAAACGGTGGCAGCATTCCAAAAGTGTGAAATAAACATGCCCAGAAACACCCTGTCAATAAGACTATCCACACCTTACTACACCTTTAATCTTATTCCTCTTTCGTTTATAATTAAACAGCCTGAACACACAGAAAAAAATAATTCTGTCACAATATTTTGTGAAGACACTGTAGTAAAATGGGAACTGACTGAGAGTAACAACTGGAAGAAATGTATGGGGAAAAATTAAACCGTACAAGAAAGAAAAAAGACAGAAAGGCTCAGATGTGACATCCACGTGCAGCAGCATTCACAGGGGTTTAACAGAGAATCCTTCAGAAGTCCTGCTCCGGCCAGTTTTACCATCTCTTTTTTAACCATTTCTTTCACCATGATCAACATCAGTGTGCAGCACCTCCTCCCAGCCAGGAGGGGCAGTGAATCTCCACATGGCAACCATAGAAATACTGCAGTATTGTAGAAAATGGAAAGGCCAAAGCACAGCGGTGTGTGGCTGAACTCCGGCTCTGGGGTGAAGAGCACACAGGTGAGACGTTCCTCCGTTACCGTAGTGACGCGCGGACCTCCAAGATGCGCTGACGAAGGTGGGCCATAAACTCAAACATGGTAGCTGCCAGAGACTGATGGATAAGGTAGCGCGGGAGACGACCCTGATAGAGAAACACGGAGGAGAGAAAGAACAAGAAAATAGAGAGAGAGAGAGAAAACTGATCAGTTACTATTTTAACTTATTCAGTATCTACTATAAATTAATCAGTATTTACTATGAATTATTCAGCATCTACTATGAATTAATCAGTATTTACTATGAATTATTCAGTATCTATTATGAATTAATCAGTATCCACTATGAATTATTCAGTATTTACTATGAATTATTCAGTATTTACTATGAATTATTCAGTATCTACTATGAATTATTCAGTATCTACTATGAATTATTCAGTATCTATAATGAATTAATCAGTATTTACTATGAATTATTCAGTATCCACTATGAATTATTCAGTATCTATTATGAATTAATCAGTATTTACTATGAATTATTCAGTATCCACTATTAATAATTCAGTATCTACTATGAATTACTCAGAACTAAGGTCTGCAGGTGTGAAAGTGAGGAACTAAAGTGTGGACCTGTATATAGACAGTTTAAGGGGTTAATGTTTCTTCACTTCTACATCTTTATCAAGCATAAGAAATTTACAAAAAAACTTGATTAAATAAATAAATATATACTGTAAGAGTCCAGAGGTAAGAAGATTCACCTTGAGGTCAGTGTTGAGCACCCAGATGAAAGTGCAGACTGAAGGATTACTGCTGGACTTCAGCACCACAAACCCACCTGGACCATTCTCACCCCTGCAGGAGAGACAAAGACACAGTAATGACACCTAATCTAATAAACCTCCAGTCCTATCAGATTAGCTTTACCTACAGATTAGGCTCACCTGGAGAGGTTCTGTAACTTAATTACTGACCAGATGTGTTTACAGTTTTTACAGTCTGATGGTAATAATTGTGGAGCGATTTTAATCCAGTATGAATCTGCAGTGTGTAGTTTTACAGTCTGACTGTAATAATTGTGGAGTGATTTTAATCCAGTATGAATCTGCAGTGTGTAGTTTTACAGTCTGACAGTAATAATTGTGGAGTGATTTTAATCCAGTATGAATCTGCAGTGTGTGTAGTTTTACAGTCTGACGGTAATAATTGTGGAGTGATTTTAATCCAGTATGAATCTGCAGTGTGTGTAGTTTTACAGTCTGACGGTAATAATTGTGGAGTGATTTTAATCCAGTATGAATCTGCAGTGTGTGTAGTTTTACAGTCTGACAGTAATAATTGTGGAGTGATTTTAATCCAGTATGAATCTGCAGTGTGTGTAGTTTTACAGTCTGACAGTAATAATTGTGGAGTGATTTTAATCCAGTATGAATCTGCAGTGTGTGTAGTTTTACAGTCTGACTGTAATAATTGTGGAGTGATTTTAATCCAGTATGAATCTGCAGTGTGTGTAGTTTTACAGTCTGACTGTAATAATTGTGGAGTGATTTTAATCCAGTATGAATCTGCAGTGTGTGTAGTTTTACAGTCTGACTGTAATAATTGTGGAGTGATTTTAATCCAGTATGAATCTGCAGTGTGTGTAGTTTTACAGTCTGACTGTAATAATTGTGGAGTGATTTTAATCCAGTATGAATCTGCAGTGTGTAGTTTTACAGTCTGACGGTAATAATTGTGGAGTGATTTTAATCCAGTATGAATCTGCAGTGTGTAGTTTTACAGTCTGACAGTAATAATCGTGGAGAGATTTTAATCCAGTATGAATCTGCAGTGTGTGTAGTTTGACGGTAATAATCGTGGAGAGATTTTAATCCAGTATGAATCTGCAGTGTGTGTAGTTTTACAGTCTGACGGTAATAATCGTGGAGAGATTTTAATCCAGTATGAATCTTCAGTGTGTGTAGTTTGACGGTAATAATCGTGGAGAGATTTTAATCCAGTATGAATCATCTTGTAAAACTTTTCCCGCTTAAACAGGGCTTTTGAAAGAGTGAGCTGTGTTCACATTTTAAATAAAGGGGAAAAACAGCATGTGTGAGTGAAGGACGTACCGAACGTAGCGACTGTGTGGAGGTTTGGCACCATGATTGGTCGACATGCCGGCCGAGATGTAACGATCTTTCTTCCGCTCCACTCTACGAACATTTACAAAATCCCTGAGAGAGAGAGAGAGAGAGAGAGAGAGAGAGAGAGAGAGAGAGAGAGAAACAGCTTGATGACATCATTCCACAGTCAAAAGAAACTACTGTTACGCTCTGTTAAGGTCATGACATTTACACGCTCATTTATGGCTTTCAGTGGACACCCCCTACTGGCTAGAGTATACACTGCAGCCCCTACTGGCCAGAGTATTCACTGTACCCCCTACTGGCCAGAGTATTCGCTGTACCCCCTACTGGTCAGTGTATTAAATGCGACCCCTTTTGGCCAGAGTATTTATTGCACCCCCTACTGGCCAGACCTGTGCACTTGCAACAACATTTGCTTTAGCTAGTCTTCCTCTCTGTTTTAGATTATGTAGTAAACGCTGGTAAAGTTCAGTGTGCGTGTGAGTGTGTGTGTGTGTGTGTGTACCTGGGAGAAACGACTCCTCCTGCTGCTCCTGCAGACACATCATACGATACCAGTGTGTTATCATCCACTCTCTGTAAAATCTGCACACAAACACACAGGAAAAAAAACAATTTAAAATGATAAATAATGATTAAATCAGAGAGATTGTGTGCAAAGACAAGACGTCAGACAAAAAAGATGTACACGACTTTTAAGCCACAAAATGTGGTGGTCTCGAGTTCATACAGTACAGTATGCATTATTTTCACTTACAACTGTGCTGATGCTCTTATAAATTCATTAATTTTTTAAATATTGTGATATCACATCATTAGTAGAAAACACTGTGATATAAGTGAGTTCATAACACTCACCTGTAATTCTTCTTACCAATTTCATAGCTGTTATTGATAATTATCAATAAATCGATAAGTGGTCCCAGCCCTGGTGTTCAGTGTGTGAGATGGTGAGTGTGAGTGTACCTGGCACGCTGACACTGTTCTGTTCCACTGCACCATCTTCTCCGGCTGTAGAATGACCTCCTGATACACCAGCTCAGCAGCACACTGCAGTAGCGCCTACACCATAACAAGAGCTAATGAGTGTTCACACTACAGGTGTTCACGTCAGGGGTCTTACATTCAGGCTATGCGTCTTGCGTTCACGTTACAGGCTTTGCGTTCACGGCCTTGCGCTCAGGATACAGGCCATGTGTTGACGTTACAGACCTTATGTTCACGTAATGGACCTTATGCTCACGTTACGGACCTTACGCTCACGTTACGGACCTTACGCTCACGTTACGGGCATTACATTCACGTTAGGGGCCATGTGTTCACGTTATGGGCCTTACCTTCACGTCACGGGCCATGTGTTCACCTTACAGACCTTATGTTCACGTTACGGGCCATGCGTTCACGTTACGGGCCTTACGTTCACGATAGGGGCCATGTGTTGACATTACGGGCCTTACGTTCACGTTACGGACCTTAGGCTCACGTTACGGAACTTACGCTCATGTTACGGGCATTACGTTCACGTTAGGGGCCATTTGTTCACGTTACGGGCCTTACCTTCACGTTACGGGCCACGTGTTCACCTTATGGACCTTATGTTCACATAATGGACCTTACGTTCACATTACGGGCCTTACGTTCACGTTACGGGCCTTACGTTCACGTTATGGACCTTACGTTCACGTTACGGGCCATGCGTTGACGTTACGGGCCATGCGTTGGCGTTACGGGCCATGCGTTGGCGTTACGGACCTTATGTTCACGTTACGGGCCTTACGTTCACATAATGGACCTTACGTTCACGTTACAGGCCATGTGTTCACATTACAGGCCTTACGTTCACGTTACCGGCCTTACGTTCACGTTATGGACCATGTGTTCACGTTACGGGCCTTACGTTCACGTTACAGGCCTTACGTTCACGTTACCGGCCTTACGTTCACGTTATGGACCATGTGTTCACGTTACGGGCCATGTGTTCACGTTACGGGCCATGCGTTCACGTTACGGACGTTACGTTCACGTTACGGGCCTTACGTTCACGTTACGGGCCTTATGTTCACATAATGGACCTTACGTTCACATTACAGGCCATGTGTTCACATTACAGGCCTTACATTCACGTTACGGACCTTACGTTCACGTTACCGGCCTTACGTTCACGTTATGGACCATGTGTTCACGTTACGGGCCATGCGTTCACGTTACAGACGTTACGTTCACGTTACGGGCCTTACGTTCACGTTACGGGCCATGTGTTCACATTACGGGCCTTACGTTCACGTTACGGACCTTACGTTCACGTTACGGGCCTTACGTTCACGTTACGGGCCTTACGTTCACGTTACGGACCATGTGTTCACGTTACGGGCCATGTGTTCACGTCACGGGCCATGTGTTCACGTTACGGACCTTACGTTCACATTATGGGCCTTACGTTCACGTTACGGGCCTTACATTCACGTTACGGGCCTTACGTTCACGTTACGGGCCTTACGTTCACGTTACGGACCTTACGTTCACATTATGGGCCTTACGTTCACGTTATGGGCCTTACGTTCACGTTACGGACCTTACGTTCATGTTATGGGCCTTACGTTCACGTTATGGGCTTTACGTTCACGTTATGGACCTTACATTCACGTTATGGGCCTTATGTTCACGTTATGGGCCTTACGTTCACATAATGGACCTTAATACATAACAGTGCTTGTGTTCATGTTCCAGGTCTTGTGTTAACCTTATGGGACTTGTATTCGTGTTATGGGCATTGTGTTATTGTTACGAGGCTTATGCTCACATTACAGCCCTGCTGTTCACAGTCTTACATTTGTGTGTTATGGGTCTTGCGTTCACGTTATGGGCCTAATGACATCATGTTACAAGGCTTATGCTCACATTACAAGCCATAAGTTCATGTCACAGTCCTTACTACCACATTACAAGTCATACATTCACATTATGGGCCTTGTGTTCATGTTTATCATTTTTTTTTACAGTAAAAAAGATATTAAGCAAAAATACAGAGAAGGATGAGAGAGAAGAGGATACCTTCAGGATGAACGTCTTTCCATGGAAGGGGATTTCCAGCGTGTACACACAGTCCCCCATGTCCTACACACACAAACACACCTCAGCTTCATATTTCAATTCATATATTAATAAGACCATACATCACTGCTTCGGTTGCTTCTGGGAAAAAGAGTATTTTGTAAAAATACTTGATAAGTAGCATACAAATATGCAAATGAGCTTTGTAACCAATCATAATGTGATTTACGGTTATTGGTTGTTTTCATGTAATCCAACAAAAGGAAATCATTTCGGGCTGGCCCCGTTTATAACTTCACAACTGTACTTTTAAAAATGTTGCAAGTTCAAATGTTTTACAATCACGACAGGCTCTTTTCACAAGAAACAGAAGTTTGTAAACACTGCGTAAAATAAGTTCTGCTATCGCCTTTCGGACAGCTACCATCCTCAGAAATACAGGCGTTGGAATCACCACAGAAAGGCGTCTCACTCTATCTTTATCACGATTACGAAGATTGAAATTCGAGAATGTGTCCAGAATGGTTGGAGAACCAAACACACAACAATGTGGGAGTCCAAACTAAATAAAGGATATAAATGCTTCGTGGAAAAATTCCTTCACAGCTATCAGAGCACAGTAACGTCAGCTACATCTACAGAGAGATAAATCATGAAAATAACTACAACCAAAATACTAGAGTGTGTTAGCTGGAGACTACTGGAACCAGTTTAACTGTCGGAGGTTGACGCCTGCGTATCAAATTATCCGTCTCTATATCTGTTTGTGTATCTTTGTGATGATCCAGCTCAGAAATCCAGTTCAAACACTTCCTGAATCTGTAGAGTCGCCCTTTCCACTCCATCTTATCACGAGATCATACGAGACTCACATCCGGAGTTATGAGCCTATGAAGAGGGGCTGAGATACACGTCATCTGCCTCTCACCGTGTGGAACTGGTGGATTGGTGTGTCCGTCTACATTCTGTGTGAAACTGACCAATGGACACTCAGGAAATCACTAAGGACTGACCGTCACGCCGGAAACCCTTCATTCTTTATTCAGTCCACATCGGAGACTCATGTGAAACGGCGTGCAGAGAGTTTACAGCTGCTGAAGCTGCTGCAGCGGTTTTGGAAAGTAGTGATGAAGATAACGGAGCATTTAGATATGAAACATATGAGGATCATGATATATGAAGAGCCTTTAAATGAGAGTTTAAGAAGAGATGGACAGATCGAGAAAAGACCTTTAGAACCCAAAGGGTTAACTACATTAACTATCCACGCTACGTTACTGAGTTACTGAGCATTATATTATTATGTATAACTGAAGAAAAACCCCGACCTCCATCACTTCTCTGACTGCATGGCACCTGCTTCCTGTTTCTATGTATAAGCGTCCTGTTCTCTTATCACTTCACTGTTAATAAAACTCGCATGGGAGCTGCAGCTTCGTCCTGTCTGAGTTAACTTTGAGGGAAAATCCACATCAAACTCTACACCCTGAGAGTATCCAGCCCTTCTAATGAGTGAACTAAGGAGTCACCCATTACTCACACAGCGTGTATAATCTCCACTGAACAACAGCTGCTAATGTCACCATGCCCAGTACCAAGTGTGGGCTAGAGGGGTATAAAGCCCCCCAGCATTGGGCTGTGGAGCAGCTCCCTGAAGTAATATCTATCATAAAAATCAATATATCATCCCTCAACAGAGAACAGACTTCAACTGGGCATTGTTCTCAAATTTCCTTCCTTCATTATTTCCGTTTTTCATTCCTTTCCTATTTCTTTATTTCCCTCCTTTCCTATTTCCTTATTTCCTTCCTTCCATATTTCCCTTTTTCCTTCCTTCCTTATTTCCGTTTTTCATTCCTTTCCTATTTCCTTCCTTCCATATTTCCCTTTTTCCTTCCTTCCTTATTTCCGTTTTTCATTCCTTTCCTTATTTCCTTCCTTTCCTATTTCCTTCCTTTCCTATTTCCTTATTTCCTTGCTTCCATATTTCCCTTTTTCCTTCCTTCCTTCCTTATTCCCTTTTTCCTTCCTTCCTTATTTCCTTTTTCCGTTCCTTCCTTATTTCCTTTTTCCGTTCCTTCCTTATTTCCCTTTTTCCTTCCTTCCTTACTTCCGTTCTTCCTTCCTTCCCCATTTCCTTCCTATGTCGGTTGGGTAGCAGGATGATAGGATTCAACGTCAGTAATGTAATACCTGAAGTGTGTAGTAACCTTTTCTTAAAACCACTGAGAAGATAAAAACAATAAACACAACAAACCTACACACAGTAGAAGAAAACAAACTTTTTTGTTGCTCTGTACTTGTTTCATGTTTTTCTGCAAAGGGGACTAAAAGATGATAAAGATGAGGTAGATATATCAAGCGTAACCTTTCACGTCTGATAATTACCTTTTATTTATATGACGGTCATTATGATCACTGCCCTCTTTTTTCGTGTTTAAAGGTGATAGTATTTGCTGCGTTTATCCAAATGAGCTGCTGCACTGACTTAGCCACATTAACGCAGCTCTGAACGTGGACTTCTGTTCTTTCTTCTGTTCTGGAGTTTTGCTTTGTCCTGTTATGGAGATTATTATGGTCTGTCCGCCCCAGCGAGGAAGAATTCTAATGGAAACCTCCACCACAGAGCTGTACATCCACACACTTACGTTATTCTTCTCAAACTTCCAGTTTTCCTCCTGAGACAGGATCTGTTCCACCACAGCCATCGCCTCGCGGCCCTGCCGCACAAACTCCTTCTCCTGACGCGCAAGGAAACACAGCACACAGTTTAGCATGAATGATTAAAAAAGGAACCACGTTCTATAAGAAAAAGACCCTCTGACTGCCAGCGGCTCTCGGGGACATCAGACCATAAACATTAGATAAACCAGCAGCACTGAAATACATACAGATGACTAAACAAACAAAAAGGTAGAAATATTATCTTTTCCTCGAGCAATGTATTATTTTTGATTATAACTGACTCATAGGATATTATGGTTGTCATTCAAGTGGGATGTTTGGCTCAACAGTAGAAATCTTGATTAAAAGTGATACACAAAATGTTTAAATCTTACACAAAACTGTTACAATGTAACAGGATATTTCACATTAATAAGGCTTTGTTCATTACCATATTTTATTGTTTACTATTGTCACAACAAAAACATTACTGTTACATCAAAACAGACAAAACACAAACATGAAATATTGTTTAATCCCACTTTTCATGTTTTTTTTAATTATTATTATTATACAGTAGTAATAGTAGTAGTAATAGTAGTAGTAATAATAGTAATATAGTGGTAGTATTAGTAATAATAGTAATACAGTAGTAATAGTAGTAATATAGTAGTAGTAGTAATAATAATAGTAATACAGTAGTAATAAAAGTAATATAGTAGTAGTAGTTGTGATAATAGTAATACAGTAGTAATAGTAGTAGTAATAGTAGTAGTAATAATAGTAATATAGTAGTAGTAGTAGTAGTAGTAATAGTAGTAATAATAGTAATAAATGTAAATTGAGTGATGGAGATGAATTTAAAAATGAGCACCTGTGCAGTTACTGCTCTCCTGCCGAGACCTTCTTCATCAAGATCTTCCTCGGAACCTACACAGACACAGACACAGTTCAGAGTGTGAAAAGCAGGCTCAATAAAGAGAAACTTGAGATGCACAAAGTTGCAGTAAATAAACTAAAAAACAAATAAATAACTGAAAACTGTCTGCAGGAGCTGAAACAGTAATGTATGTGTGTGTAATGTGTAGGTGACCTGCGAGTGACTCCGGAGGAGAGTAGAACTGGCCGTCGGACACGGCTCTGGGGTAGATCATACGAGCGCTCTCACACGCTGCATTCACGGCCGCCAGGTACACTGAGAGAGAAAGACAATCAACACAGTAAAACACCACCCTGTCTTTTCACCGCTCACCAGCAGTGAAACATTTAAATATAGGTAATGGGCGATTTTCAAGGACTGAATATCAGTGTAGGACGATACCTAAGGTTTGAATATAGGTAATGGGCGATACTCAAGGACTGAATATCGGTGTAGGACGATACCTAAGGTTTGAATATAGGTAATGGGCGATACTCAAGGACTGAATATCGGTGTAGGACGATACCTAAGGTTTGAATATAGGTAATGGGCGATACTCAAGGACTGAATATCAGTGTAGGACGATACCTAAGGTTTGAATATAGGTAATGGGCGATACTCAAGGACTAAATATCAGTGTAGGACGATACTTAAGGTTTGAATATAGGTAATGGCCAATATTAAAGGTTTAAATATCACATCGGTTGATACTCAAAGTTTAAATATCTGTTTCAGTACTGAAAAACAAAAAGTGGTATCATGCCATCTCTCTAGATGAAGCTCAATAAAGTTCACCTCAAAGCTGAGATTCAAATTCACAACAAACATCTCTGGTCTCCAAATCTCTGTATATTTCTGTTTTGTCACAGCACCTCACAGCTGGTTTCAGTGACGGTTTTTTCAACATGCAAAACAAGTTTCTGTTTCGTGACAAAGACACAAAGGCCATGAGATGCCCACGGCTCCGTCTCTGCTCAAGCGGGGATGAGTCCAGCTGGGCGGCGTAGTAGTGAATACCCTCTCTGTTTCGGCGCTGTGGCTCCGTCAGCCGTCCCGGTTTAATCACACCCTGTTACATCACTGCACTGTCAAAGTAGCCTCTGTTGCATCACTGCTGGACTGGAGGTCCTCAGCACTGAGAGGTAAACAGCACTCCTTCTCGAGGATGATTTACAATGCATGACTGCTTCGTACGCAAGAAGGACCCTTCACTCTCCTCCTGATGGACGGGCTTGACTTTTGGAAGATCATCAAGCAGATAAAGAACACTGACCTGATCAGTCTATGATATTCTAATCAGTTGTATAAAAGCCATTCTTGATAAGTTTGTCTAATATGGACCCTAGTCTTCATTCTCCGCAATCAACAAACTACTGTATATAATACCCCTCAGAGTGGTTACATCTTATTTAAAATATATTTATATAATGTATATTAATTTTCCAGCCTTTTCGTCCCTTAGAATTAAAGAGATTGTTTTAGTTCCTGTGCCATTAAGACAGATACATGTAAATGAGCTCTGTTCTGACTGGCTGTTCTGTATTGTGTCTTGCTCAAAAAGCAGCCTGAGTCAAAATGTGGATCAATCTGTTAGGCTGGGACTGAAATCCTCAGGGCTTCGGGGGAAATAAACTATGTGGATTCTTTGGAAGCTGCAGTGATCTTTTTGCTTCCTGACATCCAGGAACAGCACAACACTTAATCGCTTTGACACAACGTCCACTCCAATAACTCAGACTGTCTGCAGGAACAGCACTAAACATCACTTCAACAGGAAGAGGCAGGGCTAAACTGCTGTAGCTGAATGGGTGGGGCTAAACTGCTGTAGCTGAATGGTGGGGCTAAACTGCTGTAGCTGAATGGTGGAGCTAAACTGCTGTAGCTGAATGGTGGAGCTAAACTGCTGTAGACTGAATGGGTGGAGCTAAACTGCTGTAGCTGAATGGTGGGGCTAAACTGCTGTAGCTGAATGGTGGGGCTAAACTGCTGTAGCTGAATGGTGGGGCTAAACTGCTGTAACCTGAACGGGCAGGGCCGAATGGGAGGTCATATATAGATGTGTTCATGGTTGTGATGTCACTGATGAATTTTAAATAGGCTGTTTAGCAGCTTAGCTTCAATATATGGTCTGTACGGACTGCAAGGTACAAACTTTAACGATGTTTATAAAGTACAGTTTCAGGAAAATGAAGAAAACAAAGGCTGTTCACGTAAAACTTCCTACTTCCACACAACTATGCTGACAAAACACAGTTTCATAAGTTGTATAATCTGAGTGTTCGAAGGCTTGCGCAGGTCGACAGAAATTAGCAGATAAACAAATATCAGACACATGACAAACAGGTAAATAGAATATTTTATTACACAAAGTTATGCAGGACATAAAAAACGTAAAATTTAAGTGAGCTGTGAGTTCATCATTTGTATGAAACAATCGTTTCATGTTGTAATAAATGAGGTTAAATGTATGGAAACATACATTATTTTTTATTCTTTTTGGATTATCTAACTAATAACATGTTAAATTGTTTATAGAACAAAATATAAATTACATATCTCAATGATAAACCTGTCAAATCATCAAATTAGGCTAATTAATTCTCTTGGCTATTGCCTCACTGTGCAAATGTATGCTCTTAAAAACAAATGTTCCCAAGAGGTTCTTGGTTTGGACATACTGTAAAACCTTTAACTGGGACAGAACCTGGACGTTCTTCACCAACTCATCTCATCTACCAACATTACATCTATTTAAAGGTTCTTTAGGGAACCAGACGTGGTTCTTCTACGGCAAAGAACCCTTCTGGGCACCTTTAGTTTTTTAGAATGTCATTGTCGGTCTTCTCACTTCGAGTCTTTGAGGCACTTCTGGGTGAGAGAAGATCCAGAGGAGATCCAGAGGAGGTCACATCTTGTGGCGTAAACATTGATGAAGCTGCTTTATTGCTGGTTAGGATTTAAAGCGTCTCCGGTGAGGAGATCTGGCCAAGTCTGGTTAGGATTTAAGGCACCAACTGGGTCTTGTTCCATGAAGTTCTTGAAGAAAACCATACAGGTCAACTTTGGGTTAAGGAACGTTTACAAACCTTGCACAGGCAAGACGCCATGAAGTTTAGTGCAGTCCTTTGTTAGTGAAATCCACCGTGACAGCAGATGATCAGACCTTCGTTAGACCAGCACGTCGTCTGTCGTGAGAGAAGTTCTTGTGGATCCGGGATTAAAGCTCTTCAAATGGCCGTCCATCTTCTGCCTCTTCTGTTCTCTGCTGGAGCGTGAACGCGAGGTTTCCTGCGATCTCATCTCTACCCCTTCCAAAACGAACACACGGTGGGATTATTTCACTATTTTACTGGCAGAGAAGCTGCACGGCACACAGGTGTTAGTCCGGGATTTAGTCGTGTGGAAGCGGAAAGGGGACGGGAGGAGTTTACGGTGTTTAGGACCACTGGATTTAGAAGGATGGTGTTTAGACGGACCCTCCGTTTCAATACTGGCTTTAACGTGCCCTCGTCGACTCGCCCTTGATGGCTGATGCAATCTTAAAAGCTGGTCGATTAGCGTATGAGCTCAGGTGAAGTTTGTTGGATGAAGGAACATAAATAGTAATTAAATACTCTAAAATACTGCATATTTTAAAACATTCTATCTGCTATGTTCAAGCTGGGCTTCATGTACTCACCTGCTCTAAATTCTAGCTGATATATAAAACATTTCTACTTCACTCTGCTGGCTAGCTAGTTAGCAAGCTAAGAGCTACACAGCTAGCAGCAGCAACAACAACAACAACAACAACAACAACAACAACAAAATGGGAAATGTACTACAGTCCTAAATTTAAACCAGGACCCGTATTACAGAAACGTTTTAACTCTGAAATCTGATGTGTTTAGTCTCCATGATGACTGAATTCAGGACAGTAGCTATTACAGAATAACAGTTCCTACCTTCATAATCTCATCATGAACTCCAGATAAGAAAACAGCATCACACAAACATCCTAACTAGACTAAACCTCCTAAATCCTGTCCTAACTTTAGGATGAACCCCAACAGGGTCCTCACTTCTGTTTAAGGTCCGTTTCTATGGTTTTTAGGCAGCTGTGTCAGCAGCATAGTTCACTACCAGCATAATGAGCTCCATTTATTCCTACTGTAAAACGCTGCTTTCACTGTGAGATGATTTTCTTTTCTAACTCTGCGTTTTAAAGATCTCAGACGCTGCAGACTCGATCTCCACCGCCCCTCTGATCACCTTCGTGTGTTAATGTTGATGATGAAATATTACAGTGATGGTGGTGAATAATGAGGAGACGGAGCTGAATGTGTGTCTGTTTATTAGGAGGAGTAACGTTAGCGCGCTCGGCTGAAGCGTTTGGGAAATGGAGACTGAAACTGGGGAGCGGCGACTCTGATAAACAGCAGGGGGCGCTCTCACAGTATTCACTACTTACACAGTTTATCACACTTTAGTTTTGTTTTGACCTTTTTTTACATCAGTAACAGCAGCTTACCTCACAGTTTTAACATTATTTTGATGATGTGTTTACGTTTCAGCTGTGTGTTTATGGTCGGATGCTAGGAAACAGACAGCTGATTATCAACTTCCGCTGATTATCGACTTCCACTCACTTCCACTCTGATCCTAAATTAAGATCAGATTTGCTTCTGTAATACGAATGTGTAAAAAATCTTATCTCGATTTCAGATCTTAAGACAAAAAGAGAGGAAGTTTCTGTTTACGGCTCCTGAATCTTAAGCCAGACAAAGAATCTATGCACAAAGTTTACGGCTTCTCAAAAAACTGACTACATTACAAAGTTTGCTTAGCTAGCTAGTTTGTTCACTGAGGCTAACACAGCCACCTATTGGAAATGCACTGCTCACCGTCTGACGCATATGCTACGCACTTTGGAGTTGTGAGGCAAAGTCAGCGAGGGCAATCTAACAACTGTATTGAAACGCTGGGTGAAAACAAAACAAGGTCTCTCTCTCTCTCTCTCTCTCTCATTCCGTTTCTCACCTCGCTCATCCTCCGCCTCCTGCGTGAGAACTTTGAAGTCGAGGAACCAGGTCTCCAGCCAGGCCACCACAAAGGAGGTGATGGGAAGAACATAGCCGAAGACATTCTCAGTGAGCAGCTGCAAAGAAGAACACAGAAACAGAAACATTTATATCATTACTCAAGTACACAATATTATCTAGTACCCATCTCTATCTCTAATGCAACCTCTGGCTGACCCTGATTTTAACTATTTTGATTTATAAACAAACTCAGTATGACTATGCCTGGGTGACATCTAAAAATGCGACATTTTCTAGTTAAAAAAATCTCACATATTGATTATATCGTCCTCCACCAACCAACACACGCGGTCGGCCCAGCTTAGATCTTCTTTCTTATTATTTATACTTTATGTGACCATTAACTGTTTTAATAAATCTTTAATTAAGATATGAATTAATACAGTACTGTGTACCCCAACATTTCTGACTACAACAGATGTTACTGCAAACGTGTTCATGAGCTCCTTCTGGTGTAGATTCATGGCTACTTGCATGCTTAGAGTATAAACAGAATTTCAAATATAAAATATTATTATTATATATTATTAATATATATTATTTCAAATATTAAAATATTTTCACTCTGGCTTGGCTGAATACTTGATATTTATATGTGCGTCCACATTGCCCAGTATGTCCAGCGAATCAACATTTTAAACCCAATATTAAATCATTAGTCAATGTCAATCCATTGCTTTCCATTCTGCATCAGTCAGAGCTGCAACTAAAGCTTGACGGAGAATCTAGATCCCATGTGTCAAACTTAAGGCCCATGGGCTAAGTCAGGCCCGTGGCACAACCCTGTTTGGTCCATGAATTTATTTTAATTTTCTATTATTATTATTATTAGCCTGTTTCACCCTGAGTTGCACTACAGTCCCCAGCATGCACTGCAACAATGTCTGTTCTAAACCTCTTTCTCCAACAACAATCTGTGGGCCAGCGGTTACAGAGAAAGAAAAGAAGCCTGGTGTCTAGTTCACACAAATAGGCAGTTTTAAAAAACCTCCCTCTGGCAACACTTAAAGAGGTTTAACCTTTTTTCTGTAGCTAATGTAGCCTATAGTTTTAAATGAAACAATTTATTCTTATACTTATTTCTGAAGAGTTCAAGTATTCAGTGCCTATTTTGCTGATGTAGTTTTGGCATATTTTGAAAAAACAATGGTCAGTTGGGCTCATGGCTAAATGTTAAGTAAAAATAAAATAAAACACAGATGTGCTGAGATTTTTCAATATAGCCCTTTTAGCGGCCGAGTTTGACACCCCTGGTCTAGATCATCACTGTCCTGTTTAAAATGATGAGCTCCTATGAGGAGTGAGCATCACGCCATGTTACTGTCTGGACTGGACTGGACTAAACAGAGGCTGCAAAGCGCCAGCTTCATTTACTGCACGTGCATATAAACATACACTGATCAGGCATAACATTATGAGCACCTCCTTGTTTCTACACTCATGGTCCATTTTATCAGCTCCACTTACTATATAGGTGCACTTTGTAGTTCTACAGTTACAGACTGTAGTCCATCTGTTTCTCTGATACTTTGTTAGCCCCCTTTTACCCTGTTCTTCAGTGGTCAGGACCCCCATAGAGCAGGTACTATTTGGGTGGTGGGTCATTCTCAGCACTGCAGTAACACTGATGTGGTGGTGGTGTGTTAGTGTGTGTTGTGCTGGTCTGAGTGGATCAGACACAGCAGTGCTGCTGGAGTTTGGTGTATGTTTACACGCAATGCAGTTAGCTTTTACGAGCTGCAGTTGCCTGTTGACGTTCATCAAACATAATAAATAGCTGTATTTCCCTCTCACAGACTAGACAGAGACGCACTGCTCAGCCAGCACAGCAACTTTTATTTGTTAAACATTACTGTTATTTACTGACATCAAACTTGGAGAAGAGAGAACACGAGTTCAGCTGATTGCTGTTCAGTTCATTCTCATGGTGTTTTTTTTGCCTAACCACATGAGTAGTTCTGCTTCATCCTCTCATCTTTAACAAAGGGGAAGGAGGGCCATTGAGTAATTTGTGGGACCCTATGCATGTGTAGCAAGTATATCTGATTGCATCACCTTATCGGCCAGTTCTACACTGTTAGAAATAAAGGTTCTCCGCAGGTACATTTTTCGTTCATCGAGGTACAAACAGTGTAAAAGTTCCCTCAAAGCTCCAACAGTGGTTTTAAAGTCTGATTGGGAACCTTAAATAAGTTTTTCCAGGTGAAAAGTTCGTATTTGTACCTTTTCATAACCGAATGTTTTAAACAGAACAGTAAAATAAAAGCCTGGAGACGAGACGGGGTGTGTGGAGTCAGTACAGCTTAGAACATACCATTTCAGTGGATTATGGTTCAGTTATGTTCCCTGACTAAAGGTACTGAGATGAACCCTTGAGGGTCCCACCCCAGTGACAAGAGTGGCACTGCCCCAGTGACAGTTTAGTACCTTTATTTCTGAGAGCGTAAATATGATGTCGTATTCATGTTGTCGTATTTAGCAACCAACACCTGACACCAAACCTGTGGTTTAATTACAGTAATTCTCTGGAGGTGGTGGCGTACAGTGAAATATTAGCACCATCTCATGTATAGCGCTCACTCTCCTGTGTTAATGAGTAAATTTCAGAGTAAAAGTGTGTGTGAAAGAGATTTAAGTCACTCTGTATGAAACGAGTCTGAAAATGAGCCTGTTTAAAGCTGAGAATACACACACACACACACACACACACACACACACACACACAGGCAACACTCACATCTGATTTGATGACTTTGACAATAAGGAAGGCACTGGTCACCAGAGTAGTGATCTACAGGGAGGAGAGGGAGGGAGAGAGAGAACAACAATACACACAACAATAAACAATCTAATGGATATAAAAGGTACTAAAGCAGGAAGAGAGCGAGTGAACGTGTCAGGTTCGTCAGTCTTACCGCAATAACCCACCAGTGCCTCAGCCTGAAGGCAGCGTAAGCAATCTGCAAACACAAAAACCTAAAGAGAGCTAAAAGCTGAGATACATATAGAAAAGGGGGGAGAAAGAGAGAGAGAGAAAGAGAGAGAGAGAGATTTTAAATACTGCTTATTATTGACTTCTATTTGAAAATAAATGGATAAAACAATTATGAAAAAAAACAACCCAAAAACACTTAAAAGAGAAACATATGTTCATATTGTACATCTTACAGTATTCAGTAAATGTATTCAATTATCAAAAAAAATCAAAAGAGATTCATCAAAATAATTCTTAGGTTTACTTACAAAGATATCAAAGAAAGAGGAGCTGAAATCATACCGAACGACCTCCTTCTCCAGATTCAGCCAGATACTCTTATTTATCTGACAGACAGACAGACAGACAGACAGACGCGGAGTTCACAACACGTAGCATTTCATAGTTAATAACATCTGAACATATGAGAGCATTGGTTAGAGTTAGCTTTAGCATTAAGATGTCAAGATGGTCCACATGCTAGACTTAATCTTCAAAGTTAGCTTTACCCTCAAAAGATAGCTTTACCCTCAAAAGATAGCTTTACCCTCAAAAGGTTAGCTTTACCCTCAAAAGGTTAGCTTTACCCTCAAAAGGTTAGCTTTACCCTCAAAGGTTAGCTTTACCTTCCAAAGTTAGCTTTACCCTCAAAAGTTAGCTTTACCCTCAAAAGTTAGCTTTATCCTGAAAAGTTAGCTTTATCTTGAAAAGTTAGCTTTACCTTCAAGGGCTAGTTTTATCTTCAAGGTGGTCCACATGCTGGACTTAAGCTTTAAGAGTTAACCCTAGCATCAAAAGTTAGCTTTAGCTTCAAAATGGGCTACAAGCTGGATGTCAGTTTCAAAAGTTAGCTTTAGCTTCAAGACTTATAATAATAAATTTAATTTATGGACCACGTTTCATTCATAAAGCAGCTTAACGTGCTTTATAGTTTTAATAGCTTCATTTTAAAGGTGGTCCACACGGTTTACTTCACCTTCCAGAGTTAGCTTTAGCTTCCAGAGTTAACTTTAGCTTCAAGAGTTAGCTTTAGCTTCAAAATGGGATACATGCTGGATGTCAGCTTCAAAAGTTAGCTTTAGCTTCAAGACTTATAATAATAAATTTCATTTATAGACCACGTTTCATTCATAAAGCAGCTTAACATGCTTTATAGTTTATAGTTTAATAGCTTCATTTTAAAAGGTGGTCCACGCGGTTAACTTCACCTTCAAGTATTAGCTTTATCTTTAGCTGAAGCTAAAGTCTGCACGCTGGACTCATCTTCAGAGTTAGCTTTAGCTTTGAGAGCTATAATAACATCTAGATTTTGTTTACAGAGCACTTTTCATTCACAAAGCAGCTCAAATCGCTGTACAGTCTTAATAGCTTTATTTTAAAGGTGGTCCCACGGTTTACTTCACCTTCCAGAGTTAGCTTTAGCTTCCAGAGTTAGCTTTAGCTTCAAGATGGCCCACATGCTGGGCTGTAGCTTCAAGAGTTTCGACAGAGCTTTAAGAAAGCAGCTGTGCTGTTTTCAGTTCACAAATTTTAGTGACAATTTGCCAAAAAATCTGATTTACCCAATTTTCCCTTTTAGTCAAAGAGCCAAGACATGTTTGCTGTCTGAAGTTTTAGTTTTAGCACTGGAGCTACGAGGCTAATGCTGTGTACAAGTAATAGACGTTTACACCCCACCAGTTAGCATGGGGCTAACTGCAGGCCTTAGTGCCTCAGTGTGGAGGTGTTCAGTATCTCTAATAGTCTTATGTGGTTTCTGACTCACTGTTATCTATAAATATTACCTATTGTCTGCACTTTTTGTCCATTTACACACAGCAGCATGTAAACTGTGTAGGGTAAGTTATGCAGATTGGATGATGGATGATGAGTAAAAGCTTTCATGATTGGTCAGCTAAGGGGAGGTGTGTAATGTTTCCCCTAAATATTGGTTGAATAATCGTACTCACATTTAGCTCGATGATCCAGAGGAGGGAGATGAAGAGGAGGTCGAAGGTGACGAAGAGGCAGAAGGTGCGGCGGACGTCGGAGATGGCCCTGCGCTCTGTGGGAGGCAGCGGGAGGTAGTGGGGCGAGGGCATGGACAGCGAGGTCTGAGAGTACGAGGCGTTTAGGGAGGAAATGGCAGGAAGGCTTTCCCCCAGCTCTCCGTATTCAACCCCGCTGGGCATCACTCAGCACCGCCGACCCGCCGAGACGCGGACAGAGAACCAGAGGGAGAAGCTGTGGACGGAGCAGAGGCAGCGCCTTTTAATTTATGGACACAGAATGGACAATAAATGCTGAAATCACTCTCATATCTGACAATTCAGTGAATTTCAATGAACACATAAGGTGGCTTGAGGTTATACTGAGCCAGATTTCATCATTTAAGTGTTATATCTATACTGCACAATACTGTACAATCATAAAACTGTATTAATTTAACATGTTAATCAGCTAAGTAATCACACTAATAAAGTAATAGTTCATGGATCCATGAAAAACCTTAAATTGGTATTGAATTCGTATATCATGTGGAGGTTCTCATTCACTGTAATCCACTGAAAGGTTCTTTAGGGAACCAAAAGTGGTTCTTCGCTCCAATTAACCTTTTTTTTTGCACTTTTATTGTAAACAGTGTAACTGCTTGGCTAATTAACACCATAATAAATACAGTTTAACTCAGGATTCCAACATATTTGGTACATTTATGAATTTATTACTTTCTAATGGTGCAAACTGCTCTACAGTAGATCAGATAAGAGCAGTGTGTATTTGAAGCCCAGGCGTGGCCTGACTTTGAGCTGCTGAAAATAAAATCAAGAAGAAACATTTATGATTTAAGACTAAAAGCTACTTGGCAAAAAGTATAAAAAATACAAAAGTATGAGTAATGAACACCAAAATACGAAAAGACTCAGGTTTAGGTTTAAAAGGGTCCACACACTGGACTTCAGCTTCAAGGGTTAGCTTTAGGGGCTCCGTCTAAGTGTTGCCCTGTTATCAGGAGGTCCCGAGTTTGATCCTTGGTGATGCTGGGAGTCCAAGAGAGCACAACTGGCCTCGCTCTCTCTGGGTGGGTAGGATGGCCCCCCCTTTTTCCCCCATTACGCCACGCGATGCTAGTCAGCGCAGGCGTCTGTTAGCTGACGTAACAGATCTGGCGGTTGGCGCTTTTCTCCGAGCGCGTTCGGCTGTCTAACGAAGGTGCGTGAGCGGCAGCTCGAAAAGACGTGGTGGCTTCACAGGTCTCAGAGGAAGCCTGTGTTTGCCTTTACCCTTCTAGCAATGATAGTATCGTGTGACTGGGGGAGTCCTGACTGGCGGGTAGAACTGGAGACGATTAAATTGGGGAGAAAACTGGGGGAAAAAGAAAAAGAAAGTTTCAAGAGTTAGCTTGTAAACAATTAGGTAACCGAGTTAGCCTTAGGCAACCGAGTTAGGCTTAGGCAACCGAGTTAGCCTTAGGCAACCGAGTTAGCCTTAGGCAACCGAGTTATTAGCCTTAGGCAACCGAGTTAGCTTTAGGCAACCGAGTTAGCTTTAGGCAACCGAGTTAGCCTTAGGCAACCGAGTTAGCCTTAGGCAACCGAGTTAGCTTTAGGCAACCGAGTTAGCCTTAGGCAACCGAGTTAGCTTTAGGTAATCGAGTTAGGCTTAAGCAACCGAGTTAGCCTTAGGCAACCGAGTTAGCTTTAGGCAAACGAGTTAGCCTTAGGCAACCGAGTTAGCTTTAGGCAACCGAGTTAGCTTTAGGCAACCGAGTTAGCCTTAGGCAACCGAGTTAGCTTTAGGTAAACGAGTTAGCCTTAGGTAAACGAGTTAGCCTTAGGCAACCGAGTTAGCTTTAGGTAAACGAGTTAGCCTTAGGCAACCGAGTTAGCTTTAGGCAACCGAGTTAGCTTTAGGTAAACGAGTTAGCTTTAGGCAACCGAGTTAGCTTTAGGCAACCGAGTTAGCCTTAGGCAACCGAGTTAGCTTTAGGTAACCGAGTTAGCTTTAGGTAAACGAGTTAGCTTTAGGTAAACGAGTTAGCTTTAGGCAACCGAGTTAGCTTTAGGTAAACAATTAGTTTTAGGTAACCGAGTTAGCTTTAGGTAAATGAGTTAGCCTTAGGCAACCGAGTTAGCTTTAGGTAAACAATTAGTTTTAGGTAACCGAGTTAGCTTTAGGTAAATGAGTTAGCCTTAGGCAACCGAGTTAGCTTTAGGTAAACAATTAGCTTTAGGTAACCGAGTTAGCTTTAGGTAAACAATTAGTTTTAGGTAACCGAGTTAGCCTTAGGTAAACGAGTTAGCCTTAGGTAAACGAGTTAGCTTTAGGCAACCGAGTTAGCTTTAGGCAAACAAGTTAGCTTTAGGCAAACAAGTTAGGCTTAGGCAACCGAGTTAGGCTTAGGCAACCGAGTTAGCCTTAGGCAACCGAGTTAGCCTTAGGCAACCGAGTTAGCCTTAGGCAACCGAGTTAGCCTTAGGCAAACGAGTTAGCCTTAGGCAAACGAGTTAGCCTTAGGCAACCGAGTTAGCTTTAGGTAAACGAGTTAGCCTTAGGTAAACGAGTTAGCCTTAGGCAACCGAGTTAGCTTTAGGTAAACGAGTTAGCCTTAGGCAACCGAGTTAGCTTTAGGCAACCGAGTTAGCTTTAGGTAAACGAGTTAGCTTTAGGCAACCGAGTTAGCTTTAGGCAACCGAGTTAGCTTTAGGCAACCGAGTTAGCCTTAGGCAACCGAGTTAGCCTTAGGCAACCGAGTTAGCTTTAGGTAAACGAGTTAGCTTTAGGTAAACGAGTTAGCTTTAGGCAACCGAGTTAGCTTTAGGTAAACAATTAGTTTTAGGTAACCGAGTTAGCTTTAGGTAAATGAGTTAGCCTTAGGCAACCGAGTTAGCTTTAGGCAACCGAGTTAGCTTTAGGTAAACGAGTTAGCCTTAGGCAACCGAGTTAGCTTTAGGCAACCGAGTTAGCTTTAGGTAAACGAGTTAGCTTTAGGCAACCGAGTTAGCTTTAGGCAACCGAGTTAGCTTTAGGCAACCGAGTTAGCCTTAGGCAACCGAGTTAGCTTTAGGTAACCGAGTTAGCCTTAGGCAACCGAGTTAGCTTTAGGTAAACGAGTTAGCTTTAGGTAAACGAGTTAGCTTTAGGCAACCGAGTTAGCTTTAGGTAAACAATTAGTTTTAGGTAACCGAGTTAGCTTTAGGTAAATGAGTTAGCCTTAGGCAACCGAGTTAGCTTTAGGTAAACAATTAGTTTTAGGTAACCGAGTTAGCTTTAGGTAAATGAGTTAGCCTTAGGCAACCGAGTTAGCTTTAGGTAAACAATTAGCTTTAGGTAACCGAGTTAGCTTTAGGTAAACAATTAGTTTTAGGTAACCGAGTTAGCCTTAGGTAAACGAGTTAGCCTTAGGTAAACGAGTTAGCTTTAGGCAACCGAGTTAGCTTTAGGCAAACAAGTTAGCTTTAGGCAAACAAGTTAGGCTTAGGCAACCGAGTTAGCCTTAGGCAACCGAGTTAGCCTTAGGCAACCGAGTTAGCCTTAGGCAACCGAGTTAGCCTTAGGCAACCGAGTTAGCTTTAGGTAAACGAGTTAGCCTTAGGCAACCGAGTTAGCCTTAGGCAAACGAGTTAGCCTTAGGCAAACGAGTTAGCCTTAGGCAAACGAGTTAGCCTTAGGTAAACGAGTTAGCCTTAGGCAACCGAGTTAGCTTTAGGTAAACGAGTTAGCCTTAGGTAAACGAGTTAGCCTTAGGCAACCGAGTTAGCTTTAGGTAAACGAGTTAGCCTTAGGCAACCGAGTTAGCTTTAGGCAACCGAGTTAGCTTTAGGTAAACGAGTTAGCTTTAGGCAACCGAGTTAGCCTTAGGCAACCGAGTTAGCCTTAGGCAACCGAGTTAGCCTTAGGCAACCGAGTTAGCTTTAGGTAAACGAGTTAGCTTTAGGTAAACGAGTTAGCTTTAGGCAACCGAGTTAGCTTTAGGTAAACAATTAGTTTTAGGTAACCGAGTTAGCTTTAGGTAAATGAGTTAGCCTTAGGCAACCGAGTTAGCTTTAGGTAAACAATTAGCTTTAGGTAACCGAGTTAGCTTTAGGTAAACAATTAGTTTTAGGTAACCGAGTTAGCTTTAGGTAAATGAGTTAGCCTTAGGCAACCGAGTTAGCTTTAGGTAAACGAGTTAGCTTTAGGTAAACAATTAGCTTTAGGTAACCGAGTTAGCTTTAGGTAACCGAGTTAGCTTTAGGTAACCGAGTTAGCTTTAGGTAAAAGAGTTAGCTTTAGGTAACCGAGTTAGCTTTAGGTAACCGAGTTAGATTTAGGTAACCGAGTTAGCTTTAGGTAACCGAGTTAGCTTTAGGTAACCGAGTTAGATTTAGGTAAACGAGTTAGATTTAGGTAACTTTCTGTATCTTCTGCTTTGGCACTAAAACAAACTTTAAACCGAAGAATTATCCACCAAAAACTTAACGCATCTAACAACAACAGTTAAAAAGACTTCGACTGACCCTTATTTGAACTGGTCTGAATAATCAGGCCTCTCTAAATCAGGATGGAAGAGCACAACATTCTCATTTGTGATGAAACTCCTGCACTCAGGAATCACAGCAGCACTCAGGAATCACAGCTTCAGCAGCTGTATTAAAACTATAACTGAAGTAGTGATACTGTGATATATTTGGAAAGTCCTGTGATTCTGATTTTCATTATCTGCTCTCAGAAGCAGTTTCTGAGAGTGCTCATGCAAATCATGCACCGTTTGTGCCAGTAAATGGGTTCTTTGGTCGAAGCCACCCCAGATCACATGGTCAACTTCTCTCTTCTGCTGTTCTTTTCCAGCTGAAGCATGATCTTTGTTTCCTGAGGCAATCAAGGCTGACGTAACGCAGCAAAAACATCCCAGTCACACTAAACAAGCAAACAACCAGGACGTACTTTACGTACTTTATGGAGCTGCTTTGTGCTCTGGGGCTCAGTCATGCTGGAAAGGTTCTTCCCCAAACTGTTACCACAAAGCTGGAGGCATAGAACTGTCCAAAATGTCTTGTTCTGCTGAAGCATTAAGGTTTCCCTTCATTGGAACTAAGGGTTCTAGACCAACCCCTGAAAAACAGCCCCATATCATCATCCCTCCTCCACCAAACGTTACAGCTGGCACAGTGCAGTCAGGCAGGTAACGTTCTCCTGGCATTCGCCAAACCCAGACTCGTCCATCAGACTGACAGGTAGTGAAGCTGATTGGTCACTCAGCTCCC